CTCAGCCATAAAAAAATGAGAAATTAGAGACATTTATAGCTAGATGGATGCACATTGAGGCGATACTCTTAAGTGAAGTAAATAGGACACACATGTAAATACAGAATAGTTTCTCTAGAGAAACTGAAAATGTAAATAAGGACTAAATGGTTTAATAGATAATGTGAAATAGATAGAAAAGGAGCAAAGGGGAAGGGGAAGTTGGAGGGGTAGGGGAAAGGAAACAAGGGAATGGAATTAATATAAGAAAATGAAAAAATGCGAACAAAATCTTTGTAAATAGGGAAGGATGGAGGGATTGAAGGGAGGCCAGGGCAAGGGGGAAAAAATAAGAGCCAGAAGAGATTATGTAAAGGTGTAAATTTCCAATGATGAATGTCATTATATTGTATACCTAAAATGTACCAATAAAATAAAATTTAAAAAACGAGAGTTGAAGGTACATAATTTATGCATAAATACCATTTAAAAAATATTTTCATATCAGTAAAGTTCTATAGAGGTCTCTGACTCTGAACACTCATGAAAAACCTTAATTAAGTTCTATCATTTACATGGATTCATTAGTATCACTCTAATTATCTACAAAGATCAGAGATTCTGTATATTTGTTATTGCATCTCCTATATATCTCCTGTGGTGAATTTGGCTGTTTAAATCCACTTTATATCTTCCCCAACCTGTGAATTCTTTAGATCATCTGAGAAAGAGATACAATTTACCAGGTCTGATGTGTGGTTTGTCAGGTATTCTGAACCTCCAAGGAGTAGTGTACAATCTGTGTGGTGCTGAAATAGAAGAAACACTTTATATTTAATTATTTATACTCCAAAGCCCACTGACTAGAGATTTATCACCCTATGAATCAACAACTCATAGACTTTGCAAGGAAATAAAAAGAACATTTTGAAATCTTGAATTATTCATTATACATTTCACGCTAAAGAAATATAAAATAAATGAACATATTCATGAAAGAAAATCAAATATGTACATATAGTGAGGTAGATCATTTGTAATATGTGCTAAGGATTAGTTATCTATCCCATGTATTTCAAGTGCATTGATTTTACCAGAAGGTCGCTTAATGTGATAAACACATAAGCCATCTATTCATGCATGCATGCATCCATCCATCCATCCCTGTCTCTCAGTAAGGAATCACTGTGAAACATTAGTTTCCCAAAGAAGACAAAAAGACCAAAAAGAGAAATAAAGTTTTAGTAGATGTGAAAAGTAGAAACAGCAGTCTCTATTGAATTGTCTTTACTCATAAACTCTGAAAACAATAAACATTCAGTGCCCTCCATATTGGCGATGTGCATAGGAATGACAGAACATGATGTCTGGTGCTCCACCATCAAGGAAACATGAGCAAGGATTAAGAATTGAGCCCTGAGACCAAAACACCTCCTCAGTCTCTACCCCTGTTATGCAGGCCTTGCACACGAAGTCTAATGAGATCTTAATGAATTAATAAAAAGGTAACCATTGTAAGCCGGCAAACTTGATAAAAGCTGCTGAATATTTTTGTTTTTTTAAGGTTTTAAGGTGTGTTTTCACCCCAGAATTTGTCCATTCTGCTTGAGCTCTTCTCCGTTTCCCTCATACCAGATGCTGCTTTTTACAACCAACTTTCATGCTAAAGCTTTACCTGGGACTGGAAAGAATTTTTCTTGCAAACTATGTATGTAGATTACATCATTTTTATGATTTTGTTCACATCTTGAGTGGGTATTTATACCATCATAAATCAGCAAAGCTTGGCCTACCCAGCTTCAGAAACAAAATACACCCATGAAATAGGTTATAATATAGCTCATTTATAAGCTTCCAATAAGACTATGATGAGCAGGATTTTGCCATACTGCAAGACAGCAATAGCAGAGGCATACTGAAATTCTCTAGAGATTCATCTTGACCCTTCCCAAGAGTTATAATCAGAGTGAATAGAGGTACTGATGTTAATTCCCACACACCCTAAAAGATATGATGATGACTTCCATGTGTGTACCATTGATTCTTGTGGCTTTGTGGCCTCCAAACCTCAGCAATAGTATCGCTATGACCCATAACATGAGTCACCAGTGGAATCTCCCACATTTTTTTTTTTTTTTGGTACTGGGGATGGAACTCAGGACCTTGCACTTACAAGGCTGGCAGTGGAATCTCCCATATCTTTCTGTGTGTGTGTGTGTGTGTGTGTGTGTGTGTGTCTGTATGTGTGTGGCAGATTTGCCCCTGTGTCTACTGAGACAATTTCCCTGCAGGATTCTGTAACTCAACTCCTTTTCCTCCTTTTTCTAATTTCAACCCACTGTAGCAGTCCACTTCTCCAAAGGCTTTGGGTCATCTGGTTATTTTCTTCCAGCCATTGGTCTCTCCCCAACCCAGGGAAATTTTCTTGTTCCTTGTCCCCTGCAAGGGGGCAGGGTATGAGAACTTCAAAATATTTCTCTGTAATCACTTTATATTTATTTTTTATGTTTTCTTTATTCAGTATTTTTATGTTTTTTAAAAGGTCATTTTTATAACAATTTAGATAGAAAGTCATCTTTTAAAATTATTTATTTTTATTATTGGTCACCCCAAATGATGTGGTAATGTTTATGTAGTTGCATTGTTATATAGCCCTTCTGTCTTCTGTTTTTGTTTGGTTCTGTTTTGTTTCCAGCTTAAAATTGAAACTCTATAGTGGTTTTCTCAAGGACATGTGGTGGTTGGTATTAAGTTATATGAATAACTCCCAGCCTACTTAAATTATATTTAAACTCTTATTAAAAGTTCTTTCTAGATTTAAGTGAAGACTAAAAATACCCTCTGACCCCATGGCTTTGTAATAATGAATGTACTGCTGATTATTTATTTTTGTGCTCGGCTCTAATCTCTTTCCTGTTCAAATTTTTAAAATTCACATATTTTCTAGAATGAGACAAATATGAATCATGAAGCAAAATCAATCTAACATTAACAATGGTTCATATAAAAAAGCTGAAATAGGTTAAACTGAGAAGAATTTCAGTCAACTCTCAAAACTGAAGAAAAACATTTGGAAGTCACCATCATATCTTTTAGGGTGTGTGGGAATTAACAGTTTATGTACGAGGGCTGATGTTATGCTTCTGATTACTGTGTATATGTATAAAGAAATAAAATGTTAAAGAAAATATTAATAAATAATAAAATGAAAATTTAATAAAAAGCTAAACCATCAAACAAGAAAAGATTTGTAGAATTTAAAGAAACTGTCCTGTATGAGTCTTAATTAGTTGCCTTTGTTTAGAATAAATATTGTCTACGTATATACCTCAAAGTTAGATTTCTTTTATTGTTTTATTGTTGTCATTTCCTCTTGTTGATTCAAATTTTATCCACCAACTTTCCCTCTCACATTCCAACTCCTTAAAAAAGTTTACTTTGCTTTTTTCTTTGATTTTCGTTTTCTACCATTTAATAAGGGTAGGTAAAAGGGATCACTAAAACAATAACAACGACAGTAACACTAAAGTATTAGATATTCACAACTGGATATAATCCAAGTAGAGTAGGAATATACAAAAAGGAAAAGATTTCTGAAAGCATGAAGGTAAGATAAGGCTTTCTGTAGGTGAGTACATTTCCTCCAGAGTAGGAAGTCACAGAGAAGTAATAACAAAAAATTAGAGAAAAGTGCCTTCTTGGAGGTTTAAATACTGTCACCATTAAAAAATGATTTTGTTCTTATCTTATCAATGGTTTCTTTTCTAGAGCCATAACATAAATGAGTTTCATTAAGGGAGTGAAGTGAGACAAATGGAGAAAAGATGAAATGGGGAGGGGAGGACCTAGGCAGGGAAGGAGGAAAATGATAAAGGTTCTTCTTTATTTATCAGATGTGGAAAATGAGACATGAAGGTTAAGCCAGGGGAAAAAACAGTATTCATTACTAGTTATCAGCATCTAGAGGACAAATATTTAAAAGCAAAGCTGTAACTAAAGAACTTGTCCTTCCTACATTCAAATGATACCCAGATAAGTATTCAGGTTTAGCTGATCTCCTTTACGTTTAAAATGAAAAAAGTTAAGTAATTCACCATGATGAGAAAAGACTTTTTGAAAAAAAAAGTTTTTTCTTGATTAAAAACAAATAAGAAAAGTCATTCTCCTGAGGCAGAGAAATAGTATTACCCGGAGTTGTTTTTGCAGATTCAGTTGTTCGTGGAATCTTAGTTGTGAAGAGCTCTTGGGTAGATTGATCTGTTTCTTCTAGAGAAAAACATAATAAGATGCCTTGTTTGAAATAATTATCACTGTGAATATAACAAAAAAGTAAAAACAAAAAATAGCCCATGTTCTTTTCTGCCCCGTGCAATGACAAAAGAGTAAATTACATTTAAAAATATGCCCTAGAATCATCATAATTCAAAGTTTGTGGTGTACTTTAATAATTCTAGATTATTATGTTTTCTGTCTTTTGTTATTATTTTAATGATTATTATTAGGATTTCAAATGCTTCTTGCACAGGACCATTGTTCTATGACCCTGGATTAGCTACTTTTAGGTGTGGCTTATGTATGAAAATCTCTTGTCTATGCATTTATCTTCTCTCTGTCTCCTCCTTACTCCACAAATTCACTGGCATTTAGGTGAGTTGGAAAAAATAGATCATACATGAGAAGATGTGTCATTATACCTTATGGGAATAAATATTTTTCTATTTTTGTATGGGAAAATAAAAGTATATGTTTTTGACATTCAGAAACATTTTTAACAAAATAAGTGTGAGAATACTTTTACTTTTATTGTCTTGAAATTATTACATCATAATGACACAGCAAGTAACATCATTCTCTTTGTCATATACTGGATTCAAAGAAATTCTTGGTTTAAAGAACCTATTACTATCTTTTTCCTGCTTTTTGTTTTGTTTTGTTTTTGGTACCAGGGATCGAACTCGGGTCCTTGCACTTGCGCAGCAGGTGGCAAAACCACTGAGCTAAATCCCCGGCCTTTTCCTGCTTTATTTTATACTCATTATTCTGCTCACAAGAAAGGTACCTATGTTAGTTAACAGGTGATAGTTCTTCCTTCAGTAAACAAAGACACACACACACACACACACACAAAACAGCACATGGAAGTTAGATCATTAGTGTAGTTCATAATGGATTTTGCAAAGTATTTTCAACTTCAACGTCTCAGGTGATATTGACTTTGCAACCATAAGCTAAAATAGATGAACATTTGCTCATAATTATGATATATCTGCTCATTCAACTTTAAATTTTTTCAAGATTGATTTCGTTGTTTAAAATATTTAGTAACTTCCTTTGAGCAGATGCATAAGGAATGGATTTACTTGAAAAGGGATGAAGGGAGAAAAATAAGGCCACTGATTGAAACACAGCCATGTAGGAAGTAGCAAGGACAGAGGAGCCAATAAGCAGGAACTGGGAACTTTCGCCTTTTGGTTTATTTTTATCCATGACTCAGGCAAAATGGAGTTTCCTATACAGTGAACGTATTTGTGCTGAATTCCATGAAACCATATCCAACTCATACCAACTGACCTTCCTGACCCAACCATTCTCATTCCTTCAGGCAAACCTGTGTGTTCAGCAGCACCAGAAACCTGTGCCTCTTTCCTATCCCTCTTTAACCTGAAGGGTCCCTTCGGATCTGTACCTTTCCAACTCTTTCAAACATGAAAACCCATTGTAAATCCCACACCCTGGATGAAGCTTTCCTTGACGCCCTCAGGTAAATTTGCTCTTCAGTATGTTGCTCATTTCACTACCACACTCACAGCAACATATAACATTGGTTTAATCCTAGAAACTCTAGTGACTGAGTGTGTAATTTAAAAGCCTGACTCTTGACAGTGGATATGTGACCTTGACCAGATTTTTAAATTGCTCTATGCCTCAATTTTGTAATGGGCGAAATGAAGTAATAGAACCTACCTCACAGAATCATGTGGATTAAATTTTAAAATGCATGTAGTACACTGGGTGGCACAGGGTAGGCAGTAATGTCATTAAATCTTGAACTCACACTAGACAGTGAGCTCTCTGGGTAAAAACCCACATTTAAAACATTTTTTTTGGAGCCTGTATCACTTAGCATCATGCCTAGACCAGCTAAAGCTCAATAAGCACAGGATCACTAATTTTCTTTCTAAATGCAATTTAAAATTTGGAAAAAGCAACAATAAAAAGTATATTATTAAATTGGGAACATTTTTCTTTTTAGAATACAGTCATCCCTCAGTATCTGTGGGGAATTGGTTCAAGGACCCCTCGCCCCACTGTAGATGCTCAAGTTGCTTGTATAAAATAGTGTACAATTTACATAACCTATATGCATCCTGCCATATATTTTAAATCAGCTCTAGATTACTTTCAGTATCTCATTCAGTGTAAATGCTATCTAAATAGCCGAGGTACTGTATTTAAGGAAAGATGACAAGAAAAAGCTCTGAACATATTTAGTACAGACATTTAAAAAAATATTTTTGATTCAAATTTGCTTGAATCCACAGATATAGAACCCAAATATGGAGGGCTTACTGTACTTGAAATTTTAACAAGATACTTGAAAACATTATTTTTATATTATAATGAGCAAAAATATTAGAAGGACAAAATACAGTTAATATGAAAGTATAAAGAGATACAGGTATGTTTTGTATAAGGGTAAAAAGAAACCTTGTATTGTTTAGATACAATCCTTTACTATAATGTACTTTTGGCTACTTTAAGGGCAACTCCTTCAAGGTAGATCCCTCATTTGACTGACACATCAAAAAGAAAAATTTACCAAGAGTGGGTTGTAGTTCCTCTTGACTAAGGCTTGGTGAAATTATAGGTATGAAAGGAATCCCTCGTGTCTCTAATGGAGCTGCAAAAGAAAAGTACCATACCAAGGCTATAAACTTTTAACTCAAAGCCAGCACCAAACCAGAGTGGAATTACATGCTATTCCTTCATTTGAAGCAGAAAAGGGGAAACATGAATAACGGCAAAAACTAAATGTGCACAGAACTTTGAGGAAAATGATTATGGAATATTAGAATAATAGTTCTCAACTGTTTTCTACAGTTGTAGACACATAGTAAGTTATCATTTGAGGCTCTTCTATGCTTGACCCACTCAAGGAGGATACCTGGTTAAGACAGGGTGTAGGTAAGTCATGATCTTGGTCTGTTAGAGGTAGCTCTGTCCCTCTAATCTCCCATTCAAGTGAGCATAGAGGATTACAAAATTATTGGAATAATTTTTTAATCTGCTCATGTTTAGTTTCACAAAAATTATGGCAGTTTTCCATATTTTGAGCTATATTAACAATTCCTTACAGCACCTTTCAAATTTGTCACATCTAATGTGTTATGACATTACAGCTAAGAACCACTAACCCAGCAGACATTGTTCACTAGATGGGGACATGAAAGGTAGAATTATGAAGATAACAAGGCAGATCATGATCCACTTAGTAAGGAGCCATCTTAAGCTAGTAGTCAGCACAAAACCTTTATAAAACCATAGCTTTTCTATTTTTGAAAGAATAATTATAATGAGAATTAGATGATGAAATGGACTGAGAAGAGATGATGTTTCAGTTATGATCATATGAGAAAGACCTACAATCTTGATGGTAGCAAAGAGAAAAGAGTTGGTCAATATGGAAAAACCATTACCTATTGTTGTCTTTGGTGGCTCAATTCTAAATGTAACAGGTTGCAAAACTATATCAAAAGCAAACCAAAGAAACATGTTCGTGAGAATCACTATCTTGTAAAGCCAAAATAATTTCTTATTTTCTATATGCATTCATTTACTCATTTGAACATTCTCTAAGAACCATAATAAATACAAGCAAATTCTACATAAGAGAACTTAGTTTAACCAAAACTTTAAAGATTTCACTCCCATCATTTTAAGGAAAATTTTTCAATAGGCATCATTTTTTACTTAAAAGTATATTTTATAGTCATAATGTAGTTACCTTTATATTTTTAAATGATGTAAACAGTCGGCTCACTCAATAATTATGTTTTATAATTTCAGTATAATCTATTGAATAAAAACACTTCCAAAGAAGATAAACTTATCATATGTTAGTCCTTCATATAAGAGGAAAAAATTTTCAACCATATTATATGATTAAACTTCCCTCAAAGAGATATTCATTTTATATACACTACTTTTGGAGGGCTTCTTTTATACCAAAGCCATTAAAATATACTCACAAGACTATTTTTTGAAAAATACACTTCTAACTGGGAAAATAAAATAATTCATTTACCAGGTTCACTCCGAGAGACCTCAGGGTCTGGTTCACGGGGAAGGGGCACATCTTCTGGACCTAAAAGAAAAGATTATAAAGCACCATGTCCTCTAAATGTCACACCTAAAATAAACACAACCCACATATTAAAATCTCTCAAATATGTAGGGACCAAAAGTATTTTCAGGATGGTTAAAGGTCAAAGATAAGAACATGATTATTCTTTCAAAATGGAAAAGTATCATTGTGTAGAGAAAGGTCTGGTGGCAGTAAACAAACAAAGTTGATCAAAGTTCATTGTGAAGTCTCACTTGAGGGGAAAAAAAGATGGGGGAAATAGCTAATATAATTTAAAATATGAAGGTAGATCTTCTTCAGGTCATTTTCAAAACAGAAACTCAATTTTGCCTGGAATGGTTAGCTGCCATTTGACATTCATGCTAGAATTCCATTGATAGCAGTAGAAAATACATTATCTTAAATAAAGTACATAAATGACCTACAAATTAAGAAAAACAGCAAGGAAGACAGAAATCTTGAATATCCGAAAACAAAATCATTCAAAATGGCACTAACAGTTATTGTGGCAAGAAAACAAAGTGAAAGGAATTTGCTGGTCATTAGAAGATACCATGTGTAAAGTTCGTGGCAGTTCTTGTTACAGAGTGAATGCTAGAAAAATGCTAGCAATGGTGATTTTTGTCTTCCTGATTGCTACAGCTTCCAGTATATTAGGTGTCATGGGTGTCTGACACGTGAGAATATGAACAGGCAAATGTGCCAGCTAAACAAATCCACATTTAATCCATGGTACATAGTATATTTTTAATGTTGTGTTTAATTTTCACAAAATAAAATAGTCTGAGAATGTGATACTTTATTTCTTGTTAGAGAAAATACCAGAGTGATTTTTAAAAATTATTTGTACCAGATTTCTATAAGAGAATTTGTCTCCAAGAGTAGTGCAAAGCATTCTTTGGCTCAGTTTCCCCACAAGGAAGCCCTCCTCAGGCCTACTCTCTCATTGAAAGGCTTTCCTCCTCCCACAATGAAGATTTTGAAAATACCAGTGCCTCTTTGGAAGGCAGTATCACTTTCTTGAATCTTCTATTATACTTCACAAAATCATTAGGATTCTGCTAGACTTCTATCTCAGAAGGAAGAATGGAGAAAAATTTTGTATCATGAGGTAGCCAAGCATCATGTTGCCATTGGTAGAAATAGGTTTCATAAAATGCATATTTTTTTTGGAGGGGGGATGATTTAACTTGCACACTATATCTGCCCTAGATCTAGGCCACTAAGTAGCAGACAACTGTTATAGAAAGTGTATATTGTATAGAAAACTGCCTCAATTAGAATTTCTAGGGCAATAATGGCAACTTTTAGAGCCTCAAATGATAACAAACAGCTCGCTGCAGCACCTGTGCCATAGATTCGCCTCCACTCTTCCAGGGGCTAAGAGATAACACATGGAGAGGAATTTAAAAATTTAGATTAAAAAGAAAGAAAACAGTAAACTTCAAAATGGTCAGTGGTTCACAAAGGAGAAAATCCACCATGATATTGAACATTTCACTTTGCCATGTAGTGTTTTAAAAGATTCAAGTGGTAAAACATGAACAATTCCTGATTGTAAATCAAACCAAATGTTTATCTGAAGGTTGAAGGAGAAGGCACTTTGATTTGCCTCTGCAAAGGTCATGAACATACAAGGAAGCCTGTAGGTTATAAATGCCCCAATTAATTATAGTACCAGACTATAATGAGGAGAGAAAAGACTAAGAAAGAAAAAGCTGAGAAAAGATACGCTACTAATAAATCCACATACTGTAAATACATTACTTGCTGCTGCTTTAGTTTACTGAGGAATTTAGGCTTGGATAATGTGGATTCCAGCTGCTAAAATTGGCCCTTCTTTTTAACCACAAAGTGATGATTTAATAAACTACTACAGTGGACTTTGTGAAGCAGGTGAAATCAGTGGAAAGGAAAAAAATAGAAATATTTACAGGAAAGGGATATGAATCATTTTCCTACTTGGTCCATGATAACTCTATGAAATGCAAGTTATTCTTTTCTTTTTCTCTATGTGGCATTCAATTTTATATTAATTGATAAGAATGTAATTCCTACAACCTATGCCATCCATGCTGGGGCACCTCATTAATGTAAGTAATGATAATTTATTTGAGAAGGCAGTTCTGATCTCCCTTTAAGCATATTTATAACTACATTGTAGATTCAACTATATGAGCCAATTTGTCATTTATATCAAATGATGTATTATATTAGCTATCTTCTTAAATAAAATATACCACTACAAAGAAAAATTTAACAAAAGGCTATTATGAATGGACAATGTCTAATATGCACAGCAGTAAATTAATGTGCATGAAAACTTTGCTAGACAGAGAAAATTAATGTGTGACTCTGATGAAGATGGTGGAATATCAAGTTTACAATAAGGTTTACTCTAGCAATAGCCTACAAGCTGTTTTTCTTAGAAAAGTAATACATGTAAACTATGTCCTCTTTTTATTTCAAGAACCCTTTATTCCAGTTTTGTACCCTTTAATCCATTCTGAGAGGAGCCAGGACTTCTGCATTTTTTGAAGCCATGTTTCAGGCATTTCCTGTGCTCTCAGGCCACCCTCCCTTCCATCCTCTGAAGCCTTTTAGTTCCAATTAATTATATTATCTTATTTCTTCTCCATTAGTCTTTATTGCCATTTTTTCAAGTTTTTTTCTCCTTTACCTATACAATTGCTCAACTAAACCAATATACTAAGAAAAACAAGAACTACAACTAAAACCAGAAAACAAAACAAAATTTAAAACCCCATTCCATTGATGTGAGCTCTCTTTAAAACTATCCCTCTCTTGCTCTCATTCTTTTAATAAAAAAACTTTGTGTCTGTCTCTGCTTCCTGGCTTTTGACTTGTGTCCTCTTCACCCACTGTGATCTGCCTTGCTCTTCACTGATTTGTAACCACAGGCTTACTATAGTGCTTATCTATTGTGCTGAAGTGTAAGAAGTACTGGAAAAACATTTTTTTTCTTTTTTAAAAACCTATTCAACAGCAAGACATAACTAGAACTGACATGAACAGCATTTACAGTTTTTATTAATCCTGTTTAATACAACCATTCACACTTCTCAAGGCAGACATATCAATATTTTTGTGATCAAAGATACATGTCCCTTTAACTTCCTAAAATCTGAAAACTGCTGAATTTTGGAGCAGCCAGCCTGAAAGGTACAGTTAATGGGATTCTGGACCTGCACTCTCAGGTCAGCAGCCTCATCTGATCCCTCCCCATCCCACTGCCATTTTGGGGCAGTCTTCCCTTCTTGAAACCTTTTCTCAAACCACTTCCCAACTCCTTTTCTGGTACTCCCCTGTTTTTGATAGCAACATCTGGTGACTCCTCTTTCTCTGCCTTCTCCTTATGTGTAACTGTATACCCAAATGATTTCTGACTTTATTTTCTCACATGTTCTTATTAAATCCAAGATAAAACCATCCACATGAAGACAAATGATTCCAAAATCCATGTCCCAAATCTTAAATTCCGTTTAGAAACTCAGCAAACTATTTTCAACTACAAGTTAGATGTTCCCACCTGCAAGTCCTACTGGCTCTATACCTAACATGTACAAGTCCAAGTCTTTATCCTTTGAAACAATAACAGTCAAAATTTAAAGGAAGTGTTTAGAATTAGACATTCTTTCTTAATTACCTTACACAAAAAGCCTATTTATTTGAAAATGTGAAACTAACTACAAAAATTCTAAAATGTGTAACTGCAACTGAGAATTTACTAATACAGTAAATACAGAGGACATTCATGAAGATTTGCTGAAATCCAAATTTTCTTCTGAGTTCATTCCCAATGACTGAAATCTGTCCACATGCCTAGTCATCACAGGATGACCAGAAAGCCAAGACAGATCTTTGTGTAGAAAAGAATCCACAAGGAACACAGAGATCTATTGAGTCAGAAACTGTGGGTTTGGGATTCAAGTTAAGTGTCACCTGTTTCCTATCAGGGAGAGTCCTAATGCTAAAATATTCCTCCAGTGCAGGAAAGTCATTCTATTCTTGGCATAATTCCCCACCTTTTAATAATAGCTTTACTAAATGAGCAATTGGACAACTCTTAGGAAACCTCTGAGATAAACACACCATATAAGATACAATAGGGTATTTGAGCATATGTGAAATATTTACCTCACATCCATCAACTCTGCTGCTTCAGTTCAGCTGAGTGCAACAGTAAAATGCATTTGGCTTAAACATAAAATAAAACAAGGGCCGGGGATTTAGCTCAGTGGTTCCACCGCCTGCCCTGAAAGCGCAAGGACCCAAGTTTGATCCCTGGTACCACCCCCCCCCCATAAAATAAAGCATTTATTTACCAGATGTAGTGTATGACACTTCTGGGCGTGGTGACATTTTGGGTTTTGAAGTAGCATGCGGGGATCCTTTAGGAACTGAAAGAGAGAACTCAGATCATAAGTCATTTTGTCTTAGTGTCTTTCAGTTATGCTTAACACATATGGCACAACAAGGAAGAGCCTGAACACTGATCAAACAAAGTACTATTGACACAGATGTTAATCATAAACTCTAGAAATAGATGTATTGGAAATCTAAATACTTTTGGGAAAATTAGGTCATAGAAATAAAAAATTTGGCAAAACATCAAGATAGCATGAATTTTTTTTAAAAAATCTTCATTTCAGTGAAGACTGCAATTAAATTAATGCAAATGTGATTTTCCTTTTTGGTTATGTTTGCTTGACTTCTATTTAATCTCACTCTCATGTCTTTCACTGAAGTTAAAGTAGGTAAAGTTGGTAAAGTCAGAGTAGAATTCTACAAGGACAGAGAAAGTCATCTCTGGAAAATAGCAGAAATGTAAGTAAAGTGAACAATGCAAGGCAAGGACAGTTTCACTCTACTCCTCCAATTCTCAGGCCCCCAATGAACTTTTACAGGAACATATTCACAAACTAAAATTGTCTTTCCACAATTATGCTTTTAGAATGACAAAGTGCAAATGTCATAGATAATAGGAAAAAATGTCTAACTTATTTTCAGTTCATTTTATAATTTCAATACTGCTTTTATACAATTATGCCCTTTTATTCATAACATAATACTGGAAGGAAGGAATTTCAGGTACATTTTAAAGGTAGCAAACAGAGAGAGGCAAAGCTTGGTTTGGTGCCTGAAGTTACAAGGTTATTTAGTACCAAAATCAAGACTTGAACCAAATGCTGAGGACTAGACATAGCCACTAGCTCAAATATTTGGGATCTCTAGATATCCCAATTCTGCTGGTCAGATTTTAATTTGCTTAAAATTGAGAACATTTTTGGTAGAAATAATAAATTTGTCCTTCTGAAAGGGTAACTGTGAGAATCAAATATGAAATTTCAAAACTATGTGCAAATTATACTATTATGAAATTTCTTCCATTTCCAAAGGTCTTTATAAATTTCAAATTAAAGAATCTCAGTATATGCCAATTTTCATATTCTTTGTCCCTACAAAACAACCCCAGAATTTTGAATGTTATAAAAATTATAAAACCTCTAAATTAAAAATTAAAAATAGGGTCATTGTTACCTATAAGCACAGGAATCAAAAAAATTAAGCCTTTATTGACTTACAAAATTTTCTTGATCCCGCTTTGCCCTCAAATGCCAAACACTGACCTGAATTTTGCTATCCAATTTATAAGCACACTTAAAGTTAAAAACAACAAAGTGACACATCCAATTATGAAACTTTATTTTAAAAATGCAGTAGATGGATAAAACTGTGCCATATGCTGAATTACATACTATTGATAGATGATAGTTATTTCATGTCTAACATACTTTGCATTGGTATTATACATGTAAGCAAAACATTCTTCCTCCCAAATGGCCTCTTGAAATTTACAAGACCTAGCCAAAGGTGAACATTTGAACATTTGAACGTTTCTGTTTAAAATATTTTGTGTTACCTTTGTATACAATACACACACATCCTTGAAAGATTATAAAAATCTACGTATTTTTAGGATCTATTAAGTAATATTCATATTCTCATCATGGAAAAGAGAGCTCTTAATTCCCCTCACTTTAAATAAAAAAATAATTAGAATGAACTTTGTTTATCATGATCAGTGCTCTAACTCATTCCCTTACATTAAGTAGCACTGACAAAGCCAGCAGTATTTAGGTTGTAGTTACTTTCCACCAGTCTGGAAGCTGCCTCAATGGGGACAAGATCAGGAGGTTCCCTTCAGTTTGGCAGCTCCATCAGAATTCAGAGGTAGAGACTGGAATGCATTGCATCTGTGACTCTATCCATTCTCAAGCTGCAACATCTTGTCAAGAAAAGAAAGCTAAAGTTCCAAATAAAAATTAAACTGGAAGTTTAGACTGTAGTATAATTTAGAGCAAGCTTCTAATTTACTACACTATATTTTCATAAGTACAAAGTACTCAGATAAAAATTTGAAGAAATGTTACCTATTACTTTTATCCCCTTCACTTAAAAAAATTATGAACCAGGAATTTAGAGGCTGAATGTCTTTACTTTTGGTATTTCTTATTTATTATCTTTTATATTCCAGTATTTATTAGTTTTCATCCTTTTCAAATTCCTATTTCTTCTTTTCTACTCTTGTTCTATGCTGTATGTTCAAATAAAAAGTTGAGAACTACTTCTAATGTAATTTTAAAATCTTAATTTTTAAAAATATTTTTACTTTCTTATCAATAAATTTAATATACTTGGTTTATTTAATAACTTGGTTAATTATTTTAAATTTTATATATTTTCTATATTCCATTCATTATTTGTTTAATAACTAATCAGTCATTTTCCCAGGAATTCTTATATCTTAATGCTTCAAGTATATTTATTGTTACCAAATTTTTTATTCTCTGGGTTAGTATCAGCTAGGTACCTTCATATATTTATGTATCAGAGTATATTATTAGCATAATAAGTTTTGGTAATTAGCTAGAACAGATTTTAAAAATATACTAAGGCAGTCTTAAAATTGTTAATTAGATGTGGGGTATAAATAGTCTTTTAAGAAATTTTTCTTTAAAAATTAATAACAGGTAAAATTTCTCCATAATCAGATATTAGAGCCCACCTAAAACTCTAGATTTTTCCCACCTTTAGTAGAGATTCCGAGATATGATTAAAGTATATGAATACTCAAGGAATCTAGAATTATTACTTAGATCAAGAATAATTTTGATGCAGGGCCAGGGAGTTAGCTCTGTGGCACCACACCTGCCTTGCAAGCACAAGGTCCTGAGTTTGATCCCTGGTACAGGAAAAAGAACAATTTTGATGCTACCAAATATTTTCCTTTTGCTAACCTTTAATAGTAGTATAATTTCCTTTCCTAGTATACTGGATGGTTGAAATTCAGACATTTTTTGTAAGTAGGTCATTTAAATGGCAGGGGGAAGCACAGTTAGTGATAGTGGAGGCAGGAGGCAATCTTGATCTGGGAGAGAAGTATGAAGTAGGCAGGCTACTCTGTCCAAGAATACCATTCTTAACCATCTCCATCTTAAACAATGAGAAGCTCTGTGGAATAAGCTCTTGTAGTGATGTACTTTTTGATCAAGTCTAAAAATAAATGTACTGTAAATATTTTTGATTACTGAGCAAGACTTGTTTTACAAAGTTTAAAATTCACCCTGCTACCCCACTAACCTCAAACTTTTCAAGGTAAAATACATACTTACCTGGTTGTGTTTGTGTGATTCTTGGATGTTGTGATGTTTTTGTCTTGGGAGGAGTACGTGGTGTCTGCCTGAGAGCTAAACAAAAGACATAGGTTTGGAACTCTTAAGTCCTTCAAGAATCACATTATCGAAGTCTTGGAAGCTCAGATGTTTGCTGAGTGATTGAAAACCAAAATACACAGCAATTACAATTAAAGCTCTTAAAGGTCTACAAAGTAGAGGTAGATAATTTTTTACATACAAAAAACAAAAGAAAAAGATATATTAAATGACACTGGCAAAAAAGAACTGTTAGAAGTTTAAAAATATCTACTGCAAATTCTTTTTAAATAGGGTGAAACTAAACCTCATAATAACAATAATTCATTCTTATTAGAAATACACTTTATATCCCCAGATATACCAAATAAAATACAAGTACATGCAATTTTTCCTATGTAAAAAAGAAAATTGCCATATTATATTCCAAATATAGGTTGCATCTTAAGGTAAACTCTTAATGGAAATAATCAACCTTATAAAACAAAACACAATTTTTATTGGTTATATTGGGGGAAAAATTTGAACAACAAAGATATTTTTCTGCAGAATTATTCTTTTGCTGAATATTCCAAAAGAAGTTTTAGGACATTCATTGTAAAAAAACAATGGCTTCTTCACCAAGGAAGTTAAGTATATATCCTGAGGAAGGAAGGGAATTATCAGATGCAAAGCTGCAGTTTGGCGTAACACCTCATTTTGTTGAACTGAAATGTGTTTGGGATAAAGGAAATAAAATTCAGTCTCAGACACCTTAAGAAGAGTTTGCTGAAAATGAGTAATTAGACACCAGAAGTTTCTAAATGAATATGCAGAGGCTTCTTCCTGATAATAAATAAAAATATATGAGGTATGTAGTAGTTTCAATAGTATCTTCTTGCCTGTAGAAAGATGAACATCAAGATATGTGAGATTACTTTGGTTTAGAGCTCCTTTTGCCAATCATTGTGCTTACAGACTCAGGTTCTTCATCAAAAGTTACATGATTTATTAGAATCTTTCCAATCCTAAATTTTGATGATTAGAGTTTGGTACAGTCATGATTTTCTGATTGTCAACTTCCTAGCTTGCTGAGGTTCACCCAGTGAATATGACAGACCCTGTGAAGGTAAAGGTATGTCATGAACCAATTCCATGAAAAATTATGCAGGATAATAATCACTGACTGACATATTTACAATTATATATTTTAATAATATAAATTATTAGGACTATCGAAGATAAATTTTGAAAAAGTCAGATATAAGTGATAGATTTCATTTTTGTAGTCAAGATAGAATTTTGGAAAGTAATTAAAAGGTAGAGTTGGGCCAGGGATTTAGCTCAGTAGTTCCACCGCCTGCCTCGCAAGTGCAAGGTCCCGAGTTCGATCCCCAGTACCAAAAAAAAAAAAAGATAGAGTTTATAGGCAATTTTTTTTCCTATTAACTTTATTGGTACATTTTAGGTATAAAATACAGTTACATTCATCATTGTGATCTTGTACCATTACATGAGTCTCTTGGTTCTTATTTTTTTCCCCTTCCCTTGCCCTCCCTTCACCCACTCCACCCTTCCCTATTTGCAAAGACCTTGTTTCCATTTTTTTTCTCTTTTCATATTTTTTCCTTTCCCTTTTTTCCCTTCCCCTACCCCTCCCAATTCCCCTGCTCTTTTAGACCTTTTCTTCCTGTTACACAATATCAGTTATACATTTTTTAAATTACAATATTAAGATCTAGGAGACATTACCACAGATATAGGCAATATTTAATAGGATGTTTCAGAGTGCAATGAGTAAAATTATGTCCCTACACCATCTGGAAATAAAGCCATGCAAAAAAATTGATGACAGAACTAAAGTTGGGCTTATTTATGATGAACCTTTATTCCATGAAAACCCATATATATTGAAAGGATTTTTCCTTGTAAGAAGAGGCACATTTGATTATTCATGCTGGTAATTTGTTTTCATTTATTTCAAACTCCACCAAGTAAATTTTTATGACTATCTAAAGTTAATAGTATAATTTCAGTTTCTCTATATACAGTGAAATGGCCAAATTATTGCAGAAAAGCATGAAATGGTAAGGTTCCTGAATAATGACAATGTAGGTAGCCAGTTATATTGCTTTATGTGGATTACACTATAAAACTTGTTTCTGGAAGTGCCTTTTAATCTCAAACACAAATTAGATATCTTAAAGTACTTTTTTACATGACTACAGAAGCCATAAAACTAGTCATATGATAAAGTAATTAAAATTAGGAGATACATATATACTTAAAATTGCATAGAAAATAGATTTCTTCCCCAGAAACACTGCTAGATACTGAAGTAAATATTTAAAGAATAGCTGAGAGGTGTTTTCAAACAGTATGGTAAAGAATATCCACAACACTGCCATTTGAGAGCTTACTGATGAGAGATGCAGAAGTCCGGTATCATCTACCAAACACTTTGAGTGGAGTGATGAGATCAGCGCCCCTGATATCCAGAAGAGACATATTGTCGTTATGGACTCACCTCATACATGAAATACAAAATAGGATATTTACCAGGTTCAGTCTGAGGCTCATCTGGGCTGGATAGGACTATAGTTTGAGAAGGCAGGGGAGATGTTTCTATGGTAATTGAAGGAAAGTACGTGGGGTTACTATAATGTTTGATACACCCTAATTACAGACAATGGACAGGATGGTGACAAATTTTACAAACAAAGAGAATTTTCTGCAGCAAAACAACACTTCTACTTCATAATTCATTTAGTTTTTAAAATGTCATGTTCCAATGTACTTTTGAAGTAAATGAAATCATTGCTTTTGAAATCTTCACTTCATGCTAGGACCTTAACTCTTCAACAATTCTAGAAAGATATATTCAATAGGCGCCATGAAGGGAAAATGTAATTTTTAAAAATGTAACAATACAAGCAAGGTATGAAGTACAGAATTTCACGTAACAGAGAAAAATAAATAAAACATGCAAATGAATGTGATAGAATGATTGTTAATGGAAAGGATGCTGCTAGGTCAGGAAGTATAAATGGATCATCATACAAAAAATATTATCTGACACATTCAACACAATACCACTTTGGTAGAATATTTAGGGTTAGGAAAAAAGATGCTGTACATTCAACAGTTTGGCTGATGCAAAGTAGAAAAAGAGACCAAGGTCTTGATACAAAACTGAAGAAAAGAGATATTTTTGGACAGTGGTTATGAATGGGAATGTCTAGAAGAAAATTAACTGTGTGACAACGATGATGGCGCAACGTGAATTCACAAGAGAGGCCCTGATGTTGGCAGGTGATGGTGCAATGGGGACGGCAAGCGCGTGGGCTGGGTTGCTGAGACCGTCATTACCTAGTGTGATCTCAGGAGGTTCAGACACAAGTGTTACAGATTCCACAGCTGTATCAAAACAAAGGAGAACAATTTTTAAAAAAGTATAAGATATTAAGTGATAGTCACATATTTCCTTTTTAGATGTCAACATACCTCATTCCCAAGATTGTGCATCATAATTTCACAGATAGTATAATGGATTTCAAAGGGGGGAAGGAGGAAAATTCTATTTTATTATTTTAACTTACCAACTAACATTGATATTTTAACTGTTATTAACTGATTTTCAAATATTATTATATCTCACTTTTCAGACATCAGTGGAGAAATAGGAATTTATTCTGTTTTAGAGTTAATTGTCACTTCAAGAACCCAAGAATGTTGGAAGTCACAGCTCTTTAAATCTGTTTAGTTTTTAAGTGTCACAGTGTAAACATTCATAGTCCATAGATGTAACAAATACTAATTAAAATCTGGTGAATGAATGAATTGAAGCAAAAAAACATTGCCACCTTCAGTTTTTGGCTCCTCTGGCCTGAGAGGTATTTTGGTATTGGGATACATATAATCTGTTTCAGCTGGTGTTTGGGAAGAAACAGGGAATGGGTATTTAGTGGTGGGGAGGCCAAGGGACAAATCACAGAACCCTGTATCTAATTTGAAAACACAAGTGAGTTACCTTAAGCAAATACATTCTTGAGTATAAATAACATTCAGGTAGATTATGAAGATTAGTATAATTTAGTAGGGTAGAAAAGAAGGCAGTGTGCTGTGGAAAAATACACATACCACACAAAACCAGCGGTTTCTACCTGTAGCAAAACAGGTAATTTCACTTCCTTACATATTTTTGCGTAAGTATTCTAGTAAGAAAAAGAGATATAGAATGTGTCTTTAGGAAGCAGGGAGATGAATCCTAAGGATGCAGTGACAATCAAGTATCAGATGTGCATCTATGCACATATTCATGCATGTACATATATTTCAAGAGGGATCAGAATATTAAAAAGTTAAAATTTTTCAGTGAGAGAAAACTAAAGAAACTATGGAATTGGCATAGCAGTAGAGCAGACACTTGTGACATGAGCTCCATAAAGTAACTCTCAAGCCCACTGGACGAGCATTTGCAAGATGTGAGAAGCAGGTGGCTATGAAATGTCACAAAGAATGAGGACATTCAACAATGATTTTTGCAATGAGATGGAAAAGCACATATGGTTGACTTCCCCTTGGGGAAATGTTTTACCTATAGTCTCCTTTGGTGACTCAGTATTTAATGTAGCTGGTTCCATAACATCAGAAACTAGCAAAAAACATAAAATGGTACAATTGATCAAGGATGAGTTGTGAACATTAAATAAATTAGTACAAACTAAGTACTTAGAAAGATGCCTTGTACCTTGTAAGTGCTCAATGTTAACTCTTATGATAGTAACAGTGATATTTGTATTAGCACTAAGAAAAGCTCCAATAACTGAATTGAATTCATGGTATAACTGTTGCAAGATACCAATAATAACCACATCTTATACCTATATGAAATGTTATTTATGCAATTAAAAATACTCAGAAGAAATAGAAGAAATTACAATTCTATGCTAGAAAAAATAGACTCCAATTTTTGGATTCAAATATCAGAAAGGAGCAACAGCATTGCTAATACTGAGTTTTAAAATTTGTTTCCAATTTTGAGTGGCAATATGTTTTGAAGGGTTCACATTGATAAAGGGGAGGGTTTTTTTCCATCTTAACTGAATGAGAAATTTCTCCTTCCTTGATGGTCACAATTGAACTATCATTCTTTATAGATGGCAGAGCAGAAATTAAGCTTACTACTAAAGAGAACTACAGATTTGTAATTTTTGATAAAAAATAAGGATAAAGTATATAATAAATTCTTCTAAAAGATTTATTGGCCACTTAATCAGAGATGTCATTCTCTATAATGATATACAACAAACTCAGTGGGAAGAATTACTTTTATACAGTTAAATACAATATAATTAATACTATAATAAATGCAATATAATTAATATTAACATAATGTATTACTAAACACCAATGTGCAACTATAAAATGAGCATTCTATAATATTTAGAGTTATAAAATTTATATCCCTTTTGTATTTTTTACATTTGGAACTACAGCACTTAGAGGATCACACAGTTTGTCCTCTGAAGCTCACAGTGTACACTGACAGATAAAACAATTTATTTACCGGGTTGAATGTATGTCATTTCTAAGCTTGGTGATGTCACTGGTTTCAAAATAAGAGTTTGCAGTTCAATAGGAGCTGAAAGAAGAGGGTCTAAGTTGTAAAACTAAATATGAATAATTATTTCATAGATTTTAGAGAGAAACATCAGTGAGTTGAAGCACATAGAGCTTCAAAATTGCAAGGTTATAGAGAACCATGCAAAGTGTACATTATTTAAAATAGCAAACTGTAGCTCTGCCATATTCAGCCCTCTGTCTGACCTGTGAGCTAAGAATGATTTTCATATTTTTTAAGCAATAGAAAAAAGTAAAAAGAATATTTCATAATGTGAAGATGTTGTGAAGTTCAAATAAGGTTTTATTGAAACACAACCACATCATGAACTAAGATGACCAGAGCATAGTTACATGACTATGCTCCGGTGGCCTTCCAACCACAACAGTAGAATTAAGTGGTTACAGCACAGACTGAATGGCCTGCAATGTCTGAAATATATGCAATCTAAACTCTCACAGAAAAAACAATATCTGACTCCTGATTTAAAGCAACCTTCTGAAAAAAGAGTTTATTAGGCTCCAAAGACTACTGAATCTGAATCTTAGTTCCCATGAGGGATCTCCAAGAGTTTTCTATAGCTGATTCCATGGTGGTAATATTAACAAAGCCTTGAGTATCATCCAGGAGTGTTTGTTCTATATTCCAGTTTGACTACCCCTCTTTTACCACCTTCAACAGACATTGAGATTTATTATTTTTTTATTCCCACCCTTCCACCCATTAATCCAAATCTTATCGCTATTTCAAATCACAACTACTCTCTCAGGGCACAGTCATTTTTGATTTCCTTAAATATTTTCTCCACTTAATTAAGCTAGCTGTTCTTATATAGTCAAAGTACCCCATATTCAGAAAACTACAACAAAGAAAACCTTGGGAAAAGGTTTTCTTCACAGTTAAATTGTTACTCTAACAGGTAAAACATGACCTTACTTTTGATCTCTATTTCTGTTCCTTACTCTACCCCACTCAACTGCTAATAGGGTGTTGGGGACATGGGAATAAAGGAAAAGGTTATTTACATAAGCCAAAACAGACAAACAAAGAGTAACTCCTGAAAAGAGTAGATTACCATAACTGAAAAGAAATGAATGGAATAAGAGAAGTGGATATAATGCATCAGAGACAATCCTTCCATAGGGCACAATGTAAATTTAGCTACCACACAGATCTCTCTCAACTATGAACCTAATGGCTAGCTCCACAATTGTTATTAATTTAATAGTGCCTTTTCTTTTACAGGACACAGAAGTTCAAGTCACCTCATTGTCCTTTCTAACACCCAACTGCAATTGACTGGAGGAACTCCTTAAACCAGGAATCAGATTTTCTTCATTTCAACTGAGAAGCTTCAGGAAGTTTAAAGTTTGGGAGGTGAATAGAGCTTCCCTTCTTATGCTTTTATAAATGAAGAAAGAACAGCTTGGTATATTGCAGGGTTTATAGGTCTAGAGACCCTGAACAATATTGTATGTGTACCTTTTTTCTAAATTATATTTTCTCAAGTTGACTTTCTAACTTAAAAATATTAATAATCTAATTTGTTACTTAGTATCACTGAGGGTCCCTTTAGAGACCAAAATCACATAGGAACATTAATTAAAGGAGTAAATATTAATGTGCATACACTCAGAAGAGCCCCATTTGGTAAAGATTAAGATCCATTGCTAAAGTGTGGTGGAAAGGAAGAGTAGTCAAGCTTATTGATGATGGAGAAACCTGGAACGTCCAGGGAACAACTTTGATTTTATTAATAAATACCTCACTACTTGAAGTAAAGTTAGTTACTCAGAAGAAGTTTATGCTACTTAATTGTTGTAACTCTACAGATCTAAGAATTAAAAGGTAAAGGAGAAATTTTGACCTTAGATTTAACACTCAGTCATACAATACAATTTTAGAGAGAGTTTCATTGCACACAGATATATTTCAATGAATCCAAAGGTAACCATTAAAAACAACAGGTAAAATGTGAATTAAGATTTATGACTACTAATAAGATGAAGTATGAAATGGTGTGACAACAGCAATCTTAGGAAATGAATAACTTTTTTTTTTTTTGCTTAAATTCGTTTATTGGTACATTTTAGGTATACAATACGTTTACATTTATCATTGGGTGCTCGTACCTGTACATGATGTATCTTGGTTCTTATATTTTCCCCATTACCTGTGCACCCTTCACCCCCTCTACCCTTCTTTATTTACATAGACTTTATCTCTGGTTTTTAATTAGCAAGAAAAAAGCATTTAAGGAAAGTTACAAAAATTATTACCTAATGTTGTTTTTGGACCTCCTGTACTATGAATATCAGGTTCAAAGCCTGGAGTAGGAACTAATTAAAAGGAACAACATGAACACAGCAAAGTTTAACCACATGTGAAAAACCTTTTCTTTCAAAATAGAGTTTCAAATAACAATTATTTTAAACTTTAGAATTGACAGGAAGCAATTTGTAATTGCTTCTTGATGAGATGGTAACATTAAGCCAGAATAGTTAATTGCAGAAGATAGTCATAACCTTTGAATTCTTCTATGTAGCTTACTATGATCATGCACCATTTTCTTTGTATTTTGTTTTCTGATTATAAATACTGCATAAGATTGATTTGGAAATTTGTTTAGGTAATATGTGTACAAATATATGTGAAAGTAACTTGTTGCATTTTTTGGAGTTGAAAACATGTCTCTTTGGGGGAGGGGGGGATTGAACTCGGGACCTTGCCCTTGTGAGGCTGGCGTCAGAACCACTGAGCTAAATCCTGGCCCAGAAAAAATGTCTTTTTATGTAATCATGGCTAAAACAAAAATGTTTTGATGCAGATATGGCAATAACTAATCATAAATGCTTATATCAATATTGCTGTAAGCTCATCTTTGAAGAGAGAATTAATTTCATTCAAACTAAATCACCAGTATCCCCAAATCATGTTCTTCTGGACAGTTCTATAGAGGAAGTAGATATTAACCACACCTAATGCCTTGGCTCTTAAAGGACATAACAACTGTTATACTTTCATGAAGGGCATTGTTTTAGGGCACCACTGCTCTAGGACTCACCCCTAAAACTAAGGGATTACACATTTACCCAATTTGGTCTGAGATGCTTCAGGACTGGACGTGGTCTTAGGTCTGGGACGTGGGCGATGTGTTCGTAGTATTTTAGGAGCTGAAGGAAGAAATTTTGGATTATTCTGGTGAAGGTGGCTTTGTAAAAAAGCTTTATGTTTTCTAAAATACATTATATTTCCTTGAGATTGAATGTATATATATAGGGTTAAAATATTTTCTTCTATTTTGTCAATTGTTTTGTACACACCAAAGATTCCTCTGAAAGGGAAAACTCACAAGCAAAATTACGTCAAAGAACAAAGAGATTTATAAATCTCTAACTCCAAAATAAACTGTGGCCAAATTGAGTGCAGGGGTCTTAGACTAAAATAAAATTTTTAAATAATCCAAGAAATTTATAATGCCATAGAGATTTTTATATTTTAATCTGTCTAGATAAGATATAGATACTGCCAACTTGTGTCTGAAATTCAGCTTCAGATGTGAATGCTGTTTAGGCAAAAGTACAAATGAATTCAAGCAACATTACAAAGTAAAAGATATTCTAGGTCCATGCATAGCTTTTAAAAACATCAAGTAACTTCTGTTAATACTATTTAATACTTCCAAGAAGAAGCAATATAAAGTTGATGAACAGTAGATGACAAGACAGTCTTAGAAAAGCCAATGACAATGTGATTAGGATGATAATGGAAAAAGTTTGAAAGTGAGCAAGAAAAAAATCGCTGAAGAACACAGAATATAATTACCTAATGTTGTTTCTGAAGCCTTGGTTATAAGAGTGACAGGTTCAAGGACTGTAGTCAGAACTAGCCAGAAATAATAAAATGAGTCAGCGATTTAAAAAACATCATTGCAAGATTAATTTTACAAATTGATTTATTTTAGTTTCAGAACTGAGAGAAGAGATACTCCTTTGTAGATTCGTTCAAACCATGGCTATATCCACATTAACGTAATGATATAGACTTGCAACATAGCATTGCACAGAGCTAAATATTACTATGCATTCCTCAAAACATTTTCTTAGATATTTGATTACCTGACCCTTGCTGTTATGGGAATGAACTGTACAAGTTTTTATATATTAGCAAAATTATGATTTTTTTGACTTACTAAAATAAGCATTTAATAAAGATTGAGGTAACTGTCTACTCATTTGCCTACTATTTAAATAATTATGGGCACAATAAAAAGTTCATATGTTTGAAAGCATAAAGAACAACACTTAACTGAAGAACTGTGCCACCATAATATCAGTCTCCTTGACTCAGTGAAGTTAAGAAACTCTTTAAAGCTGCTAGAGAAGGAGAGTCGGTCTACCTCATCAAGGAAAACTATAAATGCTCCAAGTTTGGGACATTTTAAAATTTGACAATCTGGTAAAAGCATCATTCCCTAAAACAACAGATTTACCAATATATCACATAAATCCTACTGTAATCAAAAGGAATATGAGAACTGAAGCATAGTATTTCATGCTTGTTGAGGGATAAAGCATAAATAGCAGCCAGAGATGTAACTTTGAAACATAGCTTTAAGTAGTCAGTACTGTTTAAACAAATACACATGATTACACAACACAATGAAGGGCAGTTTGTGATGTCCTGAAATTATTTCATGTACAGTTGTCTTAAATTCGACTAATAACTTGACATAGAACCTAGCATAATTTCAATACAAAGACTATGAAGGAATGATAATGGAATGGTCTTAAGATGAAGAAGAATCTGTGATTCAGGGGTGTGACAATAAAGAGGAAAAGTGTTATTTGAAAGACACACGTTCTTATTACCCATGGTATCTGGAGCTCCAGTTCTAAGAGTACCAGGTTCAAGATCTGTAGCAGAAACTAATTAACAGCAACAAAATAAATATGTGTGAAATTCAGCAAATTAAATCTTATCAGTATAATATTGCTTCAAGAAGTATACATCAATTTTAAGAAAATTTATGAAATTTAATATTTGCTAATTAAACTTTCTTTTAAGAGCTACTCAACTATAGCCTACTCAATCCAGGAAGCATCTCGATAAAGTCAACGTGATATTTTTCTAGGCATCTGAATACCCGATTCCAACTATTATAGAAAACTGCCCTAGAAACATTAGACAGTTTGCCAAAGATACACAAGGGGTGATTTAAAAACACTGTGAATGCTTAATTTCAAAAATTATTTCAGCAAAAGACACATTTCCATTAATTCTTTTCAAAATACTCTTTCTCTTGCTCTGAAAACACTTATCCCATTGTTCTTGCCACTTTTTTAAGCAGTTCTGGAAGTCCTCTTTTATGTCTTTTGTTGCACTAACATGGTTGCCTCAATGTCCTGAATCGATTAAAAACATTTACCTTCCATGATCATTTTGACTTTCAGATCAGAGCCAGAAATCACAGGGTGTCAGATTTGGTGAATAGGTGGATAAGGACTCACTGGAATGTTTTTATGAGCCCACCTTTGCATTGGATGACACAGGGCAACAACATTTACCATATTTTTGAGCACATCTTGCAAAGACACTTACAAAAGAGAACTTCCAGAACTACTTCAGAAAATGGCAAGAATGATGGGATAAGTGTGTTCAAAGTGAGGGGGATTAATGGGAATGTGTTTTTTACTGTAATAACATTTTAAAAATTTAAACATTCACTACATATTTTGATGACCCCTTTTACTTCTCTAACTGTTCTGTAATTATTGGCTTTTTGGTGGAAGCTTTAATAATATGTCTAAATAAGCTTGGATACCATAAGTAGGTTTTATGTTTGAGAGGGGATGTAACAAAAAATACAGCAAAGTGAAACACACTCATCTTGTTAAGAATTCATATTCAGAAACAGGCTGAGATCTTATTTGAGGCAAATGTGCTCAACAAAGATAATGGGTATCCACTTAGTGTGTAGTACCCAGAAGAGCAGCTTTTCATTCTAATCACAAAAAATGTAGTACTCTTCTAGATAGATAGAAAAGCTCACCAATGCTTTTTGAGTCAGATCCAACCTTCTGAAACATACCTTTGAGGACTTTATTTAATTGCTCTTATGAATCTTCTCAGACATAACTATTATCAAATTATTAAATTTGTTTCAAGAAGCTGGTGCCCCTTGGTTGGGCTTTATATTTCCTTTTTGTCTCTTCTCAACACCAAGATTTTATGACCCATTTTGGCAACTCTTTATTCTTGTCATTCATGAACGTTTCTTTCTCTAAGGTCATAGATATTTATAGCACCCTAAAAATCAAGTTTGATTTGCATACACAAAGTGCCTTGTTTCTATTATTTCTATGTCAGTATGTTTCATACTGGGGCAGGACTTGACCTTGACTATATCACAATTTGAGAGGTAGAAACAAATCTCCTACTAATGTGTTATCCTCACAGCTGTTAATGTGACTGTAGGAAGAGGAAGGTAATTAATGTTTATTTCTTTAAATAAAACCTGATTCTATTTAAGACACTGACATTTTATCTTTTTTTTTTTATACCAGGGATTGAAATCAGGTCTTTGCACTTGTGAGGCAAGCGCAGTGCCACTGAGCTAAATTCCTGGCTCACTGACATTTTATCTTTAAGAGAAGAATAGAATTAAATAAGAGGTAGTTAAAAAAAAAGATTCGTAGGAATAGTCTCATGCAGAATTTACAAAGAATTCAGCTGCCACAATGGTCTAAACTCAACAGTGGCAGCAGCAACAGGTTACTTTGCCTTCACCCACACAGGCTATCACTTCCACAAATGGCATCGATCATGGACTCCCAAGAGCTTGATTCTACTCCCAAGAGTACCTCCTGGCAGAAACTCACATTTACCTGGTTTAATTTGAGAAGACTTAGGACTTGGTGTGGTTTTAGGTTTGGGACGTGGATGACGAGTCCATTTTGATGTTTTAGGAGCTGAGGAAAGAAAACCTCGTTACTGCTGAATTATTACAGTTATTAGTTCAAAAGTTATAGAGTAAAAGGACCCATGGCTCCATGTTCCCTAAAACTTATTAGATGTTTCTCATATTTTAGGACTTTTTCTTTTTAATTAGAAACTTTCAGCCTTATTATAATAGCCTGTTTCTTTTTATAATTGGGAGTCTATTATGGGTAAGAGTCATATATAAAATAGAATGGTTAATTCAAGAAGTAAAGAGTAATAAATACAGAGTGAAAAGATTGGAAATCACTGCTAAACCATCATAGTGGTAGTGATGGTCACTTACAAGTTCTTTGATAGTTTACTAAAATAATACTGTAAAACTAAGTTATCAGAATATCACATAGACAATGAATAATAATTAAACAGTAGAACTGTAGCTTCACAAGGAAACTTCCTGCTACCATAATAATTGTTAGAGTCAAGACAATTCCTTTCTAAAGTCACCTTTAACAAAATATTGGTTAACAAACACACAAGATGCAAAATAATTTCAGATGCTCAAAAGATGATCTGAGTTGAGTTCATGCAAGAGTCTCTTAAAAACAAATAACTTGTTTGAAGAGTCAGAGCTTTCAGTACTTTTAGAATGAAGAAAATAATGGAATGACTACAGAGGACAATGTCTTAGTCTAATGAAGCAGAAGACCTGTGGTTATGAGATGGATGCAATGTTTCTCACAAAGAGAAAGAAAAACATTTGCTGAGGATCTCAACATGTTATTACCTTGTGTTGTCACCCAAGTCTCAGTTCTGAGTGTCACAGGTTCAAGCCCTGCAGTAGGAACTGACCAAGATATTAAAGTAAACCAAATGATTATTTTAAATGAATAAAACACCAAATTCCTCCAAAATGAATCTTTCTAGTGTAATGTAGTTTCTAAAACTATATAGCAACTCTTAGAAACAACTAAACTAAAAAAGTAGGCAGTGTATTTCCTAAAATTTGGTCATACTTGTCAGTTACCTATGTCCTGATTGTTTCTTCTTTGATTATTTAATTAATAATCCAAAAATGGACTGTGTGGATATTGCTAAGAACTTATCTCTGGAAAGAGACTGGGGTCTCAGCATAATGAACTGAGAAGGTTATCCCTCTGTTGTAAGAAAAGAAAAACTGTGCCATCATTGGGCAAAGAACTTGCTGGTGTTTATCACATCAAATCTCAACTGCTTCATCAGGTACCTAAAGATCTCCACCCTGGATATCTATGAACCCACTGAGACATGAAAATATTTTGATATCACCTTGAAGTAACACATCCACTGCATCAGTATTCTAGCTGGGCTTCTCTGGTTTATTTCCACTTATTTCTCCGATTTGTATTCCTTGCACTCATCCATGTCCTACGGTGATTTCAAGACTCCACTCTTTTATTTCCCTGATCCAAATATTTATGTAACACAATTTTTTGGTGGCATCCAAACATCAACATTATATTTACGCAGATGTTGCCTAATGCCATCTCCTACATTATTTCTAAAGAAAAGGTTTCTCTTCTGAACTGTCTTGCAGTGTGAGGACCAAAGCATTTCTTCTATATCTGAATTATAACCCAAAATTGTCAGGTTTAGAGGATAGTGAAGACACTTAATTTTTTAAATTTGAACTAAATATGTTTAATTTTTCTAAAGAAGTTTTATTTTCAAGAGATAATTTGAAGTTATTAAGATACACAGTGACAGAGAAGGTTGTAACTAGGAAACATGAGATATTTAGTTCCCCCACGGATCTCCGTGCTGTGCTCCTCTTAGCATCTACACTGTGGGAATTGCTGGTGCACATGAATTGCATCTTCACTCTTACAGGGCTGAAATGTTTACTCCCAGCCAGTAGGATTACACTTGAGGTGTTGCTAGGTTAGGATGCTGAGACTCTTTACGCTAAGACTGCAGGGTTTACCTGGTTTAGACTCAGGTGCTTCAAGACTTGGTATGGGTTTTGGTCTGGGATGGGGACGACGAGTCCATTGTGATGGTTTGGGAACTGAAGGAAGAAATTTTTGTGTTACTACATGTTACACTATTTATGATTCTGGAAGTTATGGGAACTGAAAATATGACTCTAGACTTTATATCTTGTTATATATTTCCATTTTTAGTTTTATATTTCTGTCATATATACTCAATATACATTTCTTTTATCATAGGAAATTCTTTAAGGACAAAAATCATCTTTTAATTCAAGAAATAAAGGTGGGTAATTACAATCAAAATCTCACAGGGCAGCTTGATTGGCACCAAAAAGGCTAGGACCCACTGCTAAATTTGAATGGATAGTGAAGGACACTAAATCTGTGATTTATAATTTAATCTTTGACCTATTTTCTATGTAACCATTAAAATAAGAACATACAACTACCTAAATAGAAATGAAACAATAATTAGAGGGAAAAAGGTGAACTGCAAATGTTTTATGTAAATGTTCTTGGTTTTATAAAAGTTCTTAGTGACTATCTGTTGAGATGAGTGACAGAGACCTGTGATATATTTGAAACACAGCTTTAAGATAAACACTGCTTGAACAAAACTCAGAATGACAGGAGAGACTTACATGAGGGTTATGTGGAAAACAAATGATCTAAAGCAGATTATGCATGACTTGTTCTATTAAAAATGATGTATAATTTAAGAGTCTTCATACTTTTTAGAATATAATTGAATGGCCACAAGAATGACACTGTCACCACATGAAGCAAGATGAAAATCTAGGCTTTACAATAAGAAGACAAGGCTTGTTGAAAAAACAATGCATCAGTATTGCCTAATGTTGTTCCTGCAGCCTCTGGTTTAAAAGTGACAGGTTCAATAACTATAGCAAGAACTGACAAAAAATAACACAGTAAACCAAAGAAATTTTAAAAGGTATAATAAGTCAGAACATTCATATCCAAACAAATTTTACTGGTATATTAACTTTTCTAAGGAAAAAAGAAAAACAAATTAACTCCTCAACTAAGGGCAAGAGTATTTATTTGTTCTGTGGAGATTTGGCCAACTTTTAGTCATGGTTGGTTTTAGGCTTATCTTTGAATTACTTTAAGTAAACATGAAATTCTCCTAAGTTTTAAACTAATAAATTGTAACTGATATGGAAAACTCTGCACTGGCAAGTATTTTAATACATTTGCTTAATATATACGTAAAATAAATTATGTTTGAAAATGTAATTGCCCTGTTCTTGTATGGAAGATGAACACACCAGAACTATGTTTAAGTAAAAATAAATGCAATAGGCAGTTTATTTATTTGAAACAGATATAAAAATTATTCGTCAAAGTGACCTGTGTTGATCTTGCCAAGAACTCATCTATAGAAAGAGTCTGAAGCTGTTGTTCAAATCATGGCTCATAAGAGAGCAGGATAAAGGTGATCGCCAGTCTATAAAACCCAGAAAAGCATCTGTCTGCCCTAAGCCCAGCAAAAGTAGAAATCAAAGTCTCCTTATCATCTCTAAGCTCCTGAATAAAATTAAGAAATCCTCTTTCAACTGGCTTGATGGATACTAAAAATATACCATTAACCACCATATTCTGACTACCACATGTATCCACTCCTCCTGATTTGGTTCATTTTTCCCTCCATTAATACTAATCCTGCAGGGGGCCCAAGGTCCAAATCCAGCTAATCTTGATCTTTTCCTTTGCTAGATCATTTCTTTATGCTTGTTTCAATCACATCCTCAATCCCCCTGTTTTAGAAGTAAAATAAACCCACAGATGGCATATTGCCCATAGCTGTCAAAGTGGTCTGGGAATATGCAAAGAACTTAGAATTTGCTTACTTGAAATAAATAAACTGACTCTGCTAAAGAACTTTCATCTTAAGATTTGAATATAATTTAATACTAAGAAATGTACTAAATATATAGTTTTTAAAAAGTCACATCATAAGAATAAAGTTTTATGGCATCAGCTGGGTCTCCCCAGTCATGTTTTCTTTAAAGGCAAGCAGAGAAGATGATGCACATTTCCTCACATTCAGGGAGAATAAGAACTGCAAATGCCCACGACTGGCATTGCTTTGGATTCTCATTAAGGCAGGCTGGTAACATACACTCTTACCCCAAGTAATTACAAATTTACCAGGGTTGGTCTGAGGTGCTTGAGGTCTTGGTGTGGTTTTAGGTCTGGGTCGTGGACGACGGGTTCTTTGTGTTATTTTGGTAGCTGAAGAAAGAAAAGACTTGTTTTACTCTAGATCTTGTGTCTCTGGATAGTGAGGAGAGGTTTCTCTAAAACTTTTCAAATTCTCTAAAGTTCTAGGAAATTTTTCTTTTGGTTTTACTTATTCCAATGTGTCTTTTTTATCATTAATACTGCCTTGGGGAAAAGCTTATGTACACAGTTTACATATTCACTTGAGACATGAAGATTAGTAGGTATTTTCGGAAATCCATAGAACTTCCTCACTTGGCAATAAATGGGGAGTATTTAATGAAAAGAGAGATGAAATTTGGTTCATGCTAAAGAGAGCTTATAATTTAAGATTTCAGATTTGGGGCAATTTCCTAATTGTTAAATTAGTAATAAAATATACCAGGACTTACAGCACCAACTAAGAAGCAAACATACTATACAAATAGTTTTTTAAAAAAGATATAGAAGCTTAGATGTGTAAAGGATCATAAGAGTAGCTGTCATTGCTGATCAGCCTAGGTAAGAAATAGATCCTAATTTGTTTTAAACTCAGCTGTAACACCGAATACTGTTACATGAAGCTCAAGATAACAGAACAATTTCAAATGTGCTATATGGCCAGTTAATGTTTGAACTAAGTTCATGACCTTGTCTCTTATAAAAACAACAACAAAAACTTGCTTTTAAGATACTTCAAGCTTTTCGGATGACGAAAGTAACTGAATGGCAGCAGAAGATGATGGAAATCATCTCAAAGTGTGGAAAAGACATGTTGTGGAGACAGAGACTGAAATACAATGAGCAGCAAAAGCATTTGTCAAGGAGCATAGGCTTGTTACCTAATGTCATCTCAGAGGTCTCAGTTCTAAAAGTAACAGGTTCAAGTTCTGTAACAGGTTCAGCATCTGTACCAGGAACTGAAGTAACAAAATAAAAGAGCTTTGGAGTTTTTTAAAAACATAGATAGATAGATAGATGATAGATAGATAGAGCAATAACATTAACTTCAAAATGAACCTTGCCAGTGAAATATTGCCTCAAATTATATATATGTATATTATATATAATTTTATATAATTTTAGGCTGTATAGTTAGGTATTCCATCTCATGAGATCATCATCATCTTTGGTCTCATTTAGCATTACTAGATGCAAACAGGTCCTCTAATTACAGTACTTGATCATCTGAATCCAATAAGAAATACTTCAACTAGGACATTTTTACCTGTGTACTTAAACGTGTTTCTAACCATTCTCAAAAAGCACATGAAAGGTTAACTTACATTTGTTTGGACTCTAAATAAAGATGACAGCTACTAGGTTTATGAACTTATGTTTGCAGAAAAAGTTTTGAAATATCCAAGCAGAAGAAATGACTAAAAATTATTCATCTACCTGGCTGACTGAGAAGCAAAACATCTTTCCTATCACCTCTAGTTAGAGGAAAGATTCTATACATCTTTTTAAAACATAAACTCTTTACCAAACATGAGCACATAATAGACCCTCAGGATTCCATCACTAGGAGGTATGTTACATTTTTCACCGATGACTGGCTCCCAAGTCCCTTAAACCAAAGATGCTGTATTTGTTGGTGTCCTCTAAGGTACATCTGGACTTGGAGTGATTGTAAGTTTATGTTTGCATCCTTTGGAACATTTTTTCAAAGTAAAAAGAGATAACCTTTAGTTATTTTCGAGCTTCTGGTTCTGCAGATTATAGTTTTAAAAATCTTCAGGTTTTCCAAACCCTAACCAATTTTCTTGAGTTTCAAGAAATGTATTTTTCTAGTGCAAAAGTTTTATCCCTAATATGGTGATGCATTTACTTTTGTTACTGAAAACACTTTGGGGGCAAAATTGACCTATAAAATAAAGTTATCAATTCAGAAAGTCAAGATTGGTATTTTCTATAAGTCATCTTACTGGAGTTCCTTGACCTGATTAGAAAGGTTGAGAGTCATCTAAACTATGGTGGAGAGGGAGAGAAGTCAGTTGCACAGTATAATGTGGTTTGTTATTTAAATCTGTTGAGCTGTATCATAAATATCGGTTATTTATTTCACACTAAAATCATTACTCAAACATTAACAAACAAGAAAAAGCTAGATTAAAAAGGAGGCACAGAGAAACTTTCCTATTGTAGTAGCTTATTTTGCATACATCTGAGTCAGATACTCCTAAAGATATATGAAATTTACTCTAATAATGAATTCTGGTTAAATAAAAAACAGTGATATGAAAAACTTTTAAGTAAGTTATAAGGCAGGTGATATCACAAAATAGATTGATGCATGGCTCTGTTACAAACAAGAGACAATATGCTGTGTATGTATGTTCAACTCTCATAAAATGAAGAATGAATTAGATGTCAGCAGAGAATAAGTCTAACAGTAGTAGAGAAAATGCTGAAGGTAGGCAAGTGGGATTACCGATTGCTGTTTCTGGAACCTCTTTTACAGGAGTAACTTGTTCAAAGACTTCAGTAGGAACTGGCCAAAAATAACAAATCAAACCAAAAAAAATTAAAATTCATAAAACTCAGAACATTCACTTACAAAAGAATTCTAGCTCAGAACAAATGTGGTTAACCTGAACAGGGAGCAAGGCATCTTTGCCTTGAGATTTCATTAACTTTGTAACAATAATGGCCCATGCAAACTTTCTGTCCTTTGATGACTGGAAACCTAACTAATGTAGACTGCTAGGTTAAGTCCTATAAGGGTCCATTGTGATTGAAGTTGTGTTCTGCGAGGTGATGTTGTTGAGAGAAGATGGGACCTTTGGAAGGTGGTACCTAGTTAGAAAGTCTTTAGGTCACCAGGAGTGTGAGATAGTTTGTACCCTGGCAGTTCTTGTGCAATCCCTTGAGTCCTTGAGAGAAGAGTATTATAAAAGAAGCAAGATTGGCTCTTTTCACACTCTCTGCCTCTGGTCTGAGATGTAATCACTTGCTCCTCCACATGTTCTTGCCACTGCCATCTGTGCCATGAAGTAATGCAGCCAAGGAACACCCCTCACCACAGAAACTGTACTATGCCATTTGGATTGTGAACCTCCAATTCCATCAGCTAGATAAACCACTTCTTTCTAAGTAGCTTGTGCCAAGTACTTCATTATAATGAACAAAGGTACTAAATTCATGGATCAAACTCATCTGACTGAAAACTCATCTTTGGAAAAGGCCACTAGCTTTGTCCAACTTGAATACTTAAGTGGGCAAGATAAGGGCAGCCACTCTGTGACAGAGCAGGACATCTCTCTGTCCAATACCCTGAGAAATCCTGTCTGTATGGATTCTCAGATGTAACCCAAACTCCTGATTTCCACATTCAAACTTCTGTCTAATTCTGAGGCTATTTAGCTACAGCAGCTTCACTAAAATGTTCTGATAAACACCTAGAAGCCTGAAAGCCTCCATTGGTGAATGAAACTCCACCTCCTCTAACTCTCCCATACATTTCCTGCCCTTCTATGCTTTTAGATTACCTCCACTCCAGGATGATTTCCTTCTAAGAATTATTTTTTCTATTTGTAAATAGTTGGGGAAAATAAAAATAAACCAAAGAAGAATATGTACAGAGACTTTATAGCTTACAAAGCCTGAATACCTACTCTTGGACACTGTTACAAAATACTTTCACCAGTGCCTGGCCTAGATACTTACTAGAACTCACATGACTAGAATTATGAAGAAATAATTTCCCATTGGTACAAAGACACATATGTACTCTAGTTATTTCAGGTTATCACACATATCCAATATTTAAAGGGTGAATAGAATTGAGAAGTAAATTAAATAGATATTGGATAGAATATTTAATTCACAGAGAATATGGAAATTGGGTACCACTTCATCTCCCCTGCCCTCATTGTCTGGTCCAATGTGGAACCAGCCACTGCTCTTGATTTGCCACTGTACTTTCTGTGAGCCTCTAGGATGGGCTGCTGAGATTCCTAAACCAGGTCTCACACATTTACCCGGTTCTGTTTGAAGTGTTTCTGTACTCTAAGTGGTTTTAGGTTTGGGATGTGGACAATGTGTTTTTTGAGGAATTTTGGGAGCTAAAGGAAGAAAACCTCAGATTAATAGTGTTTTGGATTCCAGATACTATGGCCTCCTATACTTGTTCTAATTTCTTGAGTCTCAGGAAACTTTTCTTTTGCACTTGAAATATTTGCCCCTATTTTGTAAATGATCTGTAAATTATTTGCATTTTCTGAAAAACAAAAATCAAACAGAACATGAGTTGATATATACTTCAAACCGATTCTCATAGGGATTTCTGACTTTTGAAAAGTTCCAAAATCTTGTTGAATATTTGGGTGTGTGGGACCATGTAGAGCGATTTCATACTAATGGTGGCACTTATAATTCAAATTCAGCAGCCCCAGGAATATTTTCTATCTTACTCTTCCTTAAACAAAACTTTGTCATTATCTAAAATGGTAAAACAAAAACAAAACCAAGCAGATAGTACAAATGTAGCAATTTAGATCTGCGAGAGAACTGCGGCACCATAATAGTTGTGCCAATTACTTAGCCTGGATGAGGCCTGGACACCTCACCCCCACAATTGATTGTTTGAAACTCAATGACAAAAAATGTGATGAATAAAATGTTACCTGGGAGCAGATACCACAAATTCAAAGATATTATATTGCAGATGACAAAGTAAATTCATGCTTGGATTCACTAAAAACAAAGATTATTTTAACATATGAACTGAACAGTAGGGGATGACACAGAAACCTTGTGAAGTGAAAGAGGCATGGGTATGATGCTGATGAAATGGGCGGGAAATGCAGATGCTAATGGACACATGTCATTACCTAGTGTTGTTCCTGGAGCCTCGGTTCTAAGAATAACTGGTTCAGCAATTGTGGCAGGAACTGATCAGAAATAACAAAAACCAAAGAGACATTGTGAGTGCATGGAATGTCAGAAATTAATCTTACTAGTAAAAATAAGGTTTCTGAGGCTTCAAAGTTAATTTTTAATATTCATAACTCCACAGAAAGTAAATGTACTTTTTCATTTGACTATATCAGCAAACTAACCAGGTTCTTGTTTCATTCAGAAGATAATCAGTCATACCCTTTAGACTGCTGAGCATCTTCTTGGGGCAACTTTAAAATCTCATGGTTGGGTAATTATTTGATTTGATCTAGCATGAACAATTCTGCATTCTAACAACGAAAATCTGTTTATTAGAAACCTATGTGACAAACACATTCGCACTTTTGTACAAGCCAAAACCAAAAAAATCAACTATTAGCAGTAATCAAGAATAACAGATGCAATAAACAGTTCAGATATTTGAACATAAATATAGTCTAATAGACAGACTATGGTGAGCACCACTAATTCTTGTTGCTGGTGTTAATACCTTTGTGTAATCTCCTCCACCTCACCCCTTGACTATGTGCAGAACCTGTGAGTTGCCTCTAACTAATAGAAAAAGGAAAAGGTGATAGGCTGTCACTCCATTATGTGTCTGTCATGCTGGCACAGGAGAGAGAGAGAGAGGGAGGGAGGGAGGGAGGGAGAGAGAGAGAGAGAGAGAGAACGGAGATTATGAATTATAAAAAGGTATTAACACTAAAGGAAGAAATTGTTGGGTGTCATGCTAGGATTTTTCCATCACATATAGTAACTGCCGACAGGCAGCTGAGACTATTTCCTTCAAGTTCTTTGAGAATACATCCCTACCTAACATAAGATGAAGAACCACCTCTCAGTTTTTGTCAGCATTAGGCTGGATGTTTTCAGTTCAAAGGACAGAAAAATCATGTTCCTGCCCAGAAGTAGAAATCACTAAAGCCCAGTGGGTCAAATTTAGGCTCCAAGCCCCCTTTAATTCATGCTATGGGGCAATTAAATAGAAGAGCATCAATAAGTTACCCTGTGCCTGGGGAGTCACGTTCAACATGCTGCCTTTTTCTCAGCCTTTGTTCCTTCATCCCTCCAGTTATTCAAATTGTACATTGATTGCTTCCCAATTATCCTGGATATATTTCCCCTCTAAATATTCACCATGCTCCTAGCATGTAGCACTATACCATTAAAAAAGTTATTTTATATTTGCATGAACATGCTGCCTTATATTTCTGTCTGTTTATGAAAGAACAGCTTTTATTTACTATTGTAAACTATTTGGTAAACAAAACATTCCTTCTATTTCTGATATATGGGCTCATATAGTTTGGGGGAATTAGAAAAGATGTAAGTAATTAATTTGAATTGATTAAATTGTTTCAATACTACTCTGAACAACTTTATCTTCAAGACAGAGATGAAATTTAATAGTGAGAAAAGTGAATAACATGGCCATTGATAGAGAAGTTTCCTCAGAAGGAAACATGAAGCCCTTGGCCATCTCATGTTCTCTTCACTAAAGCAGCTTTTTTTTTTGGTACCGGGGATCAAACTCGGGTCCTTGTGCTTGTGCAGCAGGCGGCAAAACCACTGAGCTAAATCCCCGGCCCAAATTATTTCTTTAGCTACAGAAATGTAACATTGTTTCCTTTTTTTTTTTTTTTTGGTACCAGGGATGGAACTTGGGTCCTTGTGCTTGCGCAGCAGGCAGTAAAACCACTGAGCTAAATCCCCGGCCCCAAGAAGCTTTTACTTCCAGGAAATATATAGAGCATATTTCCCCCATGTGAAATATACATCCTAATGTACTGTGTGGGCCTGAATTTAGGGTCCCAACTGGGACAGACTGCACAGATTCTTTAAAGTGGATAGTACATATTTACCTAGTATTGTCTGAAGTACTTCTGGATGGGACGTGGGTTTAGATTTGGGATGTGGATGGTGGGTACTTTTTGTTGGAGCTGAAGGAAGAAAATTTAGGGTTAATATGGTGCTGGTGACTCCACAAACTGTAACTAGGATGATTATAATGTGGCTCCAAGTTTTCTAAAACTTGTTAGAGTTTGAGTTGAGAAAACTTTGTCATTTAGTTTAAAATGTTCTCTTTAGTATATTGATATTGATAACTGACAGTTCTCCAGAGACTAAAATTACACATATAATTATGTTAAAGAAATTTTAGGGACTATCATTATTTTCTTGAAAGTTTTCCTAACCCAAAACTGGTTACAAACTCTAATAATGTTAGAATAATTCAAACCAACTTTATAACATTCACTTATAATTTAAAATGACTAGGCCTGAGCAATATTTTCACTTGGTCATTTGCTAGAATAAGTGTATAAAATTCACTGAAACATCAGTAAAGCCAAAGGGGTTATCTAGAACTTGAAATATAGAAAGTAATCTGTTTAAAAAAATTACGTGGTATCATTGGCACTGAATTTGCAGTCTAAGTGAGAGGCATATGAGAACTTATATTTGGATTCTGGCTCTAACAGTACTGTTTAGAGACTCAGGTTGATATGAAACAATTTCAAACTGAGATATAGCTGTGTTGAGTTAAGCCCAGGCACATTTTTATAAAAAGGAAGAATATTTTAAGATGAATTGTGTAATAAGATGAGAACAGAGGATGGCACAATCATCTATTCAGAACCATGGGAAAGCTTGAAAAGAAATAAAAACAAGTACTTGCTAAAGGACATAGAGATTCATTACCTAAAGATGGTCCAGGAGTAATAGGTCCAAAATCTGATGAGAGAAATGACCACAAGCAATTTTGAAAAGAAAATGTTAAACACATGAGAAAATCCACCAAATTTTCTTAAAAATGAACTTTAGTATTCTAGAATTGTTTCTATAGCCAAAAAGCAAAATTTGAAAGTCTTTTTCTTTTATTTTTCTTGGGACCAGGGATTGCACTCATGTCCTCACGTATGTTAGGTGAGTGCTCTACCACAGAGCTACATCCTCGGCCCTTCAAAGTTTCTAAGTGAGGGTTCATAGATATTTATTCAAAAGACATGGTTATATTCCTAGAATTTTCACATGGTTAGCTACAAGTTTTACTTTTTAAAAATATAGTTTGATAGTACAACAGAAAAACCTGCTTAGAAAACTCTTTAGGCACCTAATAACATCATGTGTGACAATTATGAGCAAAGAATATGAAAGTATAATGCACAACACTACAGATTGGAAAACAAAGCCTAGGTCATGATAAGTGCAACTGTTGATATATTTAAGCAGACATAGTGGTGAAGAACCAAAATAAACAATGCTTTTTTTTTTTTGGTTGAGTCTACTTTGGAAAAAGAACAATATCTTTGTTTAAAGAAGGCATACAAAGAAGTAGAGAGGTCACTTAGTCCATGGAGCTTGTTAGTTCATTTCTCTATTATCAGGACAGAAAAACCAAACTCTGAACAATACAAGTGCATGTTAAGTGGCTCAAATCCAATCACTGAAGGCAGGCATTCAAGGTCCTCCTCCTGGAGTTTCTAAAAGTAGCAGCCCCACCTATTTGAGCAAACATTACCTTCCTCACAGTCAGGTTGAACTTCTAATTTGTAGCCTACTGTCACCTACACACATAACACCTTCCTCTTTGTTTATACAATTTCTGTTCATCCTGGTAACAAATCTACAAACACTTCATTTTAAGGTCCACATTACATATGTCAGCCCAAGGAATTTTTGCTTCTCTAAGTGTTAACTATATGCTTAAAAGTTGGTAAAACAATATGTAAATATTTGCTTTTGCCTACATTTATTTATGAAGTCTCCAAAAATAGCTTACTTTCTTAAGTAATTTATTACTAATGCAGTATCTAATAAAAATTTATGACCACTTGAATTAAATTTGTTAACTTGATACCTAACTAGTTAAGTTTTCTGAAAAGCAAAATGTAGTTGAATGTCAGAATAATAAATAAAATACTCAGATAAAAAGGAAATCCTTCTGCAAACAACATGAGAAAGTCGCAGGCATGTAGTAGTTGCTTTCTATGTCTTGGGCCAGTGGTGGCAAACCTCTGGCACATGTACTGCAGTGGGCTGTTTGTATCATTGAAAGCTCTAAAAGGTTCTCCATCACTGCCTTGGGTCTTCACCCTTAAGGGTCATATACGTTACTAGACAGCATGTTAAACTGCCACCCCAATGGAAACAACATATTATTTACCTGGTTTAGTGTGAGGTATCTTTGGGCTTAATGTGCTTTTATGTTTGGGCCGTGGACGATGAGTTCTTGTTCGTTGTGTTATTTTTGGAGCTAAAGAAAGGAAACTGATTATTGTAGTTTCAGAACTCTAGAAGCTAAAGAAAGAATTACATGTGATGTTAGGTTTTCTAAAATTTTCCTACTTTTTCATAAGACAACAAAAATATGTCTCTGTATTGAAATTTTCTTCTGGTCATCTGTACAGAAAGACTTTTTATTTTTGTGCTCTACTGACAGTTCTTTTGAGAAAGACAAACACATAATATCATTTTATTATTCTGAAAAATTTATTACTAGTTTCTGGTATCAGGTTATCAAAAATGGTCAAGACACTAAGAAATTCAGACATATCACATGTCAATATCATATCATTGAACAATATAGGATCACCTGCTTTTGGAAGATTGTATTTAGAAATAAGTTGGTTTGGCATAAATCCATAAAAATTATTAAAATAAGCAAATTTCGTTTCCTAAAATCACTGGTACATAATAAAAATGTGCCGCGTATCCTAAAAAAAAGAAAGTAAGAAGCCCACAGAATTATAATTAATGTTTAAGGGACAGGCATTCCTAGTTGCATTTGAAATTCAGCTTTAACACTTCAAACACTACTTGAGTAAACCCATGGGCTCTGTAAGACATACACAAATCTGGATAACATGGGAAAGTCTCTATAATAGCTACATACAGGTTTATAAGCAAGTAACCAGTTTTCAGCACTTCCAATAATACATTTAAAATGAGGAATATAGTTGAAAGATGAAAGAATGATGACAGAAAGATGAGAAAAATCTTATGAAGGAAAATACCCTTTAGCTCTCCAAAATAGTGACAGAACAAATAATGAGTAGAAAATGCAGGTGCTTGAAGACATAAAATGTTATTACCTAATGTTGTCACTGGAGCTGTGGTTCTCAGAATTACAGGTTCAATATCTGTGGTAGAAACTAACCAAAAGCAATACAATAAACAACAAAGACTAAGAAATACAAAAAAGTTATCTTAAAGTAGAATCTTCTTAAGTCTATCATATTTGAAAAGCATTTCTGAACTCTTGGAAAATAATATTTGTTATGTCCACTAACTGGCCATAATGTTGTATCCATTTATCTCAAAAAATAGGCAAGGGACTGGGGATTTAGCTCAGTGCTTCCACTACCTGCCTTGAAAGTGCAAGGTCCCAAGTTCAATCCCTAGTACCAAAAAAGAAAAAGAATGTTTAGTCAAAAGATAGGCATATTGTATACCTGTAAGGCACATAAAAACTATTTTTCTGTGTTCAAATTACTCTGAAAAAAAGTATTATAAAACCTGTAGCTATTTGAAAGGATTTTTGCCACTATTATTAATTTGTTTAAAGCAGTGGTAGTTGCAGGGAGTATCAGAAAATGTTGTTAATCAGTATATATGTATATCTATATATATCTATATATCTATATCAGTATTTATATTTTTGGTACTGGGGATCAAACTCAGGACCTTGTGCTTGTGAGGCAGGTGGAGGTACCACTGAGCCCCAGGCCCAAGATTTCTATATTTCTATACTATTCTGAATAATTATGGACAGATATGAAATTCAATAAGAATCACAACTTTGGTATTAGTGTCTCCATTTATTTTTTTATGAAAACTAGAAGACCACATATAACATTCAAATTTTTCATCATCAAAAATCCTTTAAGCATTTACACAGAGACTGACTTTTCCTGATTAAATGCCACAGCACAAAGCTGGTTTAAGCCATATTCAAGAATTAATGGCATACAGAGGAGAGGGAGGAACTTAGAACAACAAGATGAAAACAATATTTATAACTGATTTGCTTTCAAACAGAAATATACAATCCTTATTTTGACTGAAACCTAGTGTCACAAAATAAATTCATCAACAGAAAAGTTGAACAGCAATTGAATAGTATGGAACCCAGGAAGAAAGCAGTTACACAAGACAGAGACAATGATGTACCATCATCACAAGCTCCTTATAAACAAACTCACAAAGGATAAGAACCAATCAGCTTTTTCTTTGCTTCCTCGTGTATCTATAAACTGTACTCACATACAATTTTCTGGTCGAAAAAGAATAGACGACAAAGCACTTGTGACTTTTTAACAGTATCAAATAATGTGAAAGTCACCTTCAGAGGAAAGGATAACATTCAAGTGTTAGAAGCTAAACAGATGTAAAAATGCCTAACTTGATGTTAAAATGGCCTCTGTTGGAAATAGTAAACAATTTTTGGAAACAAATGGAAAAGAGGCTGAATGCCGATTGTGCATATAAGAAAACACAGACAATGATGAAAGAGATGAGAAGGGCAAGCTCAGAGAATTCTAGACCAAGAAGGCATTGTTACCTAAGGTTATGGACGGAGCTTCAGTCTGAAATGTAGCCAGCTCAAAGGCTGCATCATTTAAACAAACAGAAAAGGAACAAGTCAGTAACTCTTGGGTACTCATTAATGTTTGATTTAGAGCATACAGAACCTGGATCATTCTAAATTGATATAAACTGGCTTCTTCATAGTTTATTTATTATGAGAGATGCTCTCTTAGTCAATTAGAACTTTATACTAATTGAAAACTTAGAAAAAAATTTAACTAAAAATATTGGAATTTTCAGAATTCTTATATAAATATCTTCTTACATAGTAAAAAATCAGTCAGTTAATAATTACTGTTTAAAATTCAATCGAGTATTTTAGAGGAAGCCAGTCTACTAAGGAAGAACACAGGGTCAGCCTTCTGTATGCATCATCTAATAGTGATTGCCAACACCACTTTCAAAAATTTTCCGTATACAGAAAAATCAAACCTTCTAATTATTACAAGTTTACAAGATAAGATGTAAAATGCTTTAAGTAAATGGAGCTGGACATGGTAGCACACTCCTGTAATCCCAGCACTCAAGAGGCTGAGGCAGGAGGATCTCTTTGAGTTCGCCAGTGTGGAATACAGACTGAAACCCTATCTCAAAACAAAACAAAACAACCCCACAAAACACCATCACCACCAACAAGAAAGCCAAACAAAAAAGGAATCTATCGTATCTATTAGACAATCAGGTATAACATTTACTAATTTCTCACCCATGCATTGATTTATTTACATAGCAATTAAAACATTAGTGCAGCTGTTTTGAGAAAATATGAACCAAACTGTGGTACTTGGGTTTCTTTGCTTTATATAATATGTAAACACCTACAACAACAATTTCAATAACATTTCCAAATGAAAAAATTTTGTTAAGCTAAAGCAATGGAAATTGTTTACCAGATTTTGTTGCTGGCATACCTGGATTTGCTGTGATTTGGGGTTTAGGAAGAAATTGAACTGGTGGTTTTGAATCTGAAGAGAAAAGGGTGCTATAATTAATGCCATAGATTAGTTCTAGGCATGAATATTATTGTTACTTACAGACAGTTTTCTTATTAATAGGTCAAGGCATTGAAAGTAATGATTACCAGGCTTGATTTGGAATACATCTGGTCTGTGTGAAGTTTTAGGTCTCTTAGGTGGTTTAGGTACTAAAGAAAAAGGTATGAAAAATTAGCAGAATGGTCCTGGCTGTGTCTGTCAAAATTAAACATATAAGTTAAATAAAGACACTGTATAAATTCAATGGATATGTAAAAGTTAATTCATAGTGTGTTGGAATAAGTGTTCATTTTAGCTACACACATTAATTAATTTTTCCTTTCAGGAAAAAGCTTAAGTTTTCCTTTCAAAGAACACTTACAATGTGTCTTTGAATAAGTAATGATAACTGCCATAAGATATTTTTTCCTATGTAAATCATTGCAAAAACAACAAAGTTCATGAGTACTATTTTTCTTGATAGGTTGTCTTCAATACAAAAACAGTAATATAGAAAGTTAAAAATTGCTTAGGAGGACATCTGGAAAATAATACATAAACACTTGATGCTACACAAGTGAAAAAATGTTACATGGCTACTGATTTCTGAAAGTTTTCAAAGCAAAGCAGTGACAAATTGATTGTGCATGCTGAGAAGTTACAATGAAATAATTATAGTCATCAGTACTACAAAAACAAAATCATCTTGGGACTTTTAATATTCTCAAGTTTCAAAGACTACAACAAGTTTCATATTGGACCCTAGACCAAGAACAGCCTATGGTTATCCAAATATACTCAAAAACATTTTTCAAAGAAACAAAAAAGCTGAAGAAATCATTATTCATGCAGCTTTTTAGAGAAAGTCTTACATGCTGAATGAATAAAGCAATGAAATTACAGCATAGCACTAAGAAAAAAATTGTCATTTTTTTTCAGTCTGAAGTCAGCACAGAAGTCCCTGAGAAAGTTGATGGCTTTCTTAATACCAGCACACATGTGATTGAAAGATAGAAAGTCAGTGGGAATCAGTAAGTCACGTCCAAGAACACAGACCTTCCCTAAATGAGCACATCAGATTCCTGTAGAGCTCTCCTATCTTCAGGTCCTTCAGACCCAGATAGAAAGTGGGAAGGAAGCATGGGATGGAATTGTAGTGAATAGTAGAAATGCCTGGAGTGGAGATGGAAAAAGCAAAAGCGACAACCTGTGAAAGCACTTGAAAAGGGTAGAATTACCGATTCTGGGTACCAGGGACTCCGGGTATACTGTGGCTGGTTCCAGAGCTATAGAAGCAAAAAAACCAAGAACACCAAGTACATCATTGGCATCAGGAGGAAGTAAACATCATGCCTCAAGCTAGGATTCTCTACCTCATCCAAATACTTTTTTCTGAATGTTATTTCCCTTTAAAAATTTTCCCATTTACTCCATTTCTCCTGCTTGCTTTCTCATACCTCATCTTCTATGAATATATATCAAATGTAAGATTTTAAAGTGCCTCATTTTAATAGCCCACTTAGTAGGGGGCCTTTCTACTGTGTGTACTTAATAACTGCTAATAAAGTATAATACTTAATGAAATATGCTACTATATGTAATATGCATTAAAAAGTAAGTAAAGATGCTCAAATATAAAAATAAACTGTTATTGGTTCCCAAAGCCCAGCTTCTCAGGTAGCTAGTAGCTATTGAATTAAAAGCTACCATATTTCACTTTCTGTATCAATTGGAACCCTGAACACCACATTTACCAGGTTTGGACTTGGGCACTTCTGGACTACGTGTAGTTTTAGGGCGGGGGCGACGACCTGGTCGTTTGGTCTTTGGTGGAGCTGAAGAAAGAAAATTGCTAGTTAATACAGGAAGGGTGGCTCTACAAACTGATAATAAATTTTACTTATATCTTAGAAGCTTACTTAAGCCTTTTGATTTATCATGGACACATCCTTCTGTTTTGCAAGTTTTTATTGTTATTTACCCAGTTAAATAAGGAATTGCATTTTTTTTGTCCAAGATTTGTAAGCTGTCCAAGAGACCTCCCATTCTTTCACTTGAGACAGGAAACCTCAGAAGCATTGTGCACAGTTTAGAGGACACAGTCTCTAAATTCACATAAAACTTTGAAGGTGTATGCTGAAGGGAAGCATTAGAAAGGCTGTTTTATTTGAGAAGATATTAGTAATGAAAATTAGGCTTAATATTCAAAAGAAGTTTTTCACTTTGTATTTTTAAAATCCACAAATCAATAAATATTCGCAAACAGCTTTGAATTCTGAAGTTCCTTTAAGTGACACAACTTAAAAATGACATAGATTTATAAACTGTATAGTATTTAATTTTTTTCAGAAATAAGAACAGAGTACACAAACACAAGTGGACACTAATGAATAAATTCATGAATGTGGCCCTGCCAATAAAGACATCAGCGATTAGGAAGAGAGAAAACAAAGGTCACCCACTCACTGTATAACCTAATGTCAATTTTAGTTTCCAGTGTTCCAGGTCCTAAAACTGCATAAACAATCATTAAGAAGAAATAAAAATAAAGGAAGAAATGACAAAGATACTTAAATATAAGATACACTTAATTTTTAATTATTAGAATGAGCAAATATAAATAATGGACTTTTATTCATACAAGAAGTACCTTTTCTATTTAAATTGACTCCTGTGCTTTTAGATGAAGTGAATAAAAATGTAGCCAGTCAGTTCAATTTGGAAAGAGAAATGGAAAAAAAAGCCAGGCATGATTCTCATTTGGCAGATGTGAATGTAATAAAATAACCAGTTCATGTGAGAGGAAAATCTGGGTAATTGGCTAAGGTGGCACCAGAATACATTTATTTTGTTCTTTTGGAAAAAAAAGATCTAAAGATCCAGTGTGTGTGTGTGTGTGTGTGTGTGTGTGTGTCTGTGTGTCTGTGTGTGTGTGTCTGTGTGTGTGTGTCTGTGTGTGTGCATGTGCATGTGCACGTTTCACTTTGAATGGATTTCCTAATGACACATCAGGGTATTTATATCTGGGAAGATCATAATGCTTTCCAAGAAAGCCTGAAAATGTTAGAATTTTTGAAAAGTTAGGAAAAACAACTCCCAAAGTAAAAAGTGCAAATATTCCCTAGGGAACTCAGCAGACTCCACTGAAAATAACCAGTTTAGAACAAGCCAAAGACAAATTCCTTAAATATAAGGCAGGAAAATAAAGAAGGTATCAATCAAAATTAGTATGGCTTGCACAGGTGTCTGTCTCAGAGCCTTTGTTCAGACAAGCATGGGCACAAAATAATCTGGCAACAGTAGCTGAAAAAGATCTGAAGAACAATTAAGATATATTTTAAACCTAAGGACAAAGTTGAGGATAGAAGGTATTAAAAAAAAGATCATCCTTTTACATTGATTAAAGGAAGCTTCATTACCTTTTGTTGACTGTGGTGGTGGTAATGTCTGAGGTTCTGGGGCTGCAATAAAAGCAAGCGATATCAAAAGCAGGGCTGAAGAGAGTATTTAAGGTAGAAATTAACTGTTCTTTACCACAAAAAGTGTTCCCTCCTTGAATGATCAGGTTCTTCTGGCTTATACAGCGACATTCACTCATACCACATCCTTTCCACGAAACACAATAGAAGAATTGAGAATTCTCATTTTTGTTGTTGATCTTTAGTTATGGCCCTCACTACCCAATGTTCCAATGTTCCAATGTTCCTGAAAAAAATGCTAATTTAAAGGGAGTATCTCTGAGGGTGTTTTGAATTTCCTGTCACCTGTCATTTTGCTTCTTACAGGGGAGCCAGAGTCGCCCAAAGAGGCAGAAGAGGCAGCGCCACAACCAGGCTTGTTCCCATGGCTGCACTGTGTTAGTTTTGAATAATCTCCCACATGCTGGACCTGACATTCTTTCACACACATGCAAACACACACACACACACGCACACACACACACACACACCCTGGAAGGAATTAAATTTATCAACCAAAAGGGGCCATAAGTATTTCTGTTTTACTCCATATTGTATATCTGTTGCTAGTAAACAAGTAGATTTATATATAAAATTTCATTTATTTTAGTTAGTAAGACAATAGGTGTCCAAAAGCCATCTCAGATGTTAGGAAATGTTGAATAAGTCGAATAACAATATTATTTAGATATTTAGATAGATAAACTCTCCAGTTTTCATTTGAACTACTAGGTAAATTATACTTATGTGGAATAAAATGTGGTTTGCTTTTAATATCTGTTTGGTTTTTGAAAAGAATGGGTATATTCTAATTGTTTTGTTATTATGCTACAGAACAAAAAGAATTATTGTCTCTCAAGAAGAAATTTCAGAAGGAATTTTATTTTTGAAATAGAAAAAGCATAATTATTTTCATTTTTCTTGTAGAAAGAAATTACTATAGCACTTACTGACCTTCTTAAAAGAACTTAAATCACTCTGTGACTTACACATTTCAGATAGTACCTTTATCAGGAGTTATCTCTGATATTTCTGGAGTAGGGAGAGTAGCATGTTTGTGAGAAGCAAGTATAGACTTGAAGACAAACTATTGCAACAATAGTTTTGACATAGTAACTTCATAACAACTTTTTTAAACAACAGAAAAAGAAAATACAAGAACAAATAATTCAAAGATTTCTCATTTCTTCTGAAAGCAAGCTTCTTCCTAAAAACAGCATCATTTACTAGCATGTCTGTGTCTAAGAAAAATTTTGAGTGAGAATGTATAAGAGGAAGGTATGAAAGACCAAAGCTAAAAGGCAATGATTTAAACAGAATACAGTTGCATGTGTGTACACTCAATTGTGATTTCTGAAGAACTTGTCCAGAAATGGATTATAATAGGAGGATGGCCAAGTATAGTGATGTATCAGATTGAAGTAGACATAGAAGTAAACGTTCTCTCTGTGTGAGTTTTTATCTATAAGACAGAGGGTGAAGAATAATGAATGAGAGTTTGGGTGTCTCTTATTCTATAGGAAAAGGGGGGAAATAACCATCAGTGCATGAAATAAATAAATATCAAGAAAGCATTCATATCTGAAAATATCAAACAAAAATTCTTTTAAAACTTTAAAGTTTTCATTTCCATAAAGTTATCATCTAAAAGTGGGAGAAGTAAATAAAGGTACTTGCAGCATCTTTTAAGTTCCTGATCAAGTTTCTGGAACTTCAAAGAACAAGTGCATATCATAACAATACTAATTTTATTACATAGTCTCAAGATGTTAGGAATAAAGTTATAAAGTTATGCATAACAAAGCTGAGAGTCATCTATAATAATTAAGCCACTACCTCAGCATAAAACAGATACAACCCACTCTTTGATGTGTGGCTAGTATAAAAACAATTTACAATTCTATTCACCACGTAAGAGAGCTATGTGAAACAAGCAGCTGAAATTGGGAAACTTCATTTTTCAGTCCATTAAAAATTTGAAGAACCAAATGTTATTACCACCTTAAAGATTAATCTATGAAGGCAACACTCCTTGTAGTATGAAGTAGTTAATTTAGGGCATGATGGGTGGCTGTGTTTTCTGGAAAATGTACAGGACTGTACTTATAAAGCATGCCCAAATCAATGTGGATTTTTCATGCTCTGACAAGAAAGCCTAAAGAAAAGCAACTTGAATGGAATGTGAAATGGAAAAATAAGTGTAAGGAGAGGCTTAGGAAAGGCAGTGAATTTTTCAAATCAAAAAGCTTTTGGTGGTTATGTGCTCTTGTGAACATTGGCCAGAAACCTTCCACAGAGCTACAAAAGGAGTCTGACCTTAAATAAAAATAAGCAAAATAAAACTTAAGAGGCTAGAACCTAAGCAATGGTTTATAGAGATTCAGTCAGGACTCTGTGTTGCCTTGGACCACTCAAGGTCAGGATTTAGGTATGGATTCTGAAGTGGTTATGCTTGTTGTTATAGACAAAGTGTGAATTATTCTTAGATTAGAACATTTAGAAATCAAAGAAACATAAACACACTGGATTCCAATTAAATATTTCCATTTTAAAAGGAAATGTCAAGAAGTGTCTGTACTCAAATATCTTAGAATGGTTAAGAACATACTCTCCCATCCTTATTTGTATTAATGAATGAATTTCCTTACAGAAAACTTAGAAACCACTGAAATTAATATTGCAATATATCAGTATAAACTGTAAACAACATTTAGAGAATTTTTGTTCCCTAATTTTATTTTGTAATAACAGAAATAATTATATTAGAGAAACACTTATTTAAATTCAGTAAACCAAATATATAATATTTTTTCTTGATAATACTCAATAATAGTCCTCTATTCAAAATGCAGCATAAATATATAAATATAATAGTTATTACCTTATTGAAAAGCCTTCTAAAATGATTTTTAAATAAGGTATATCAAATTCTTTTCATATACAGCTATCAGAATTCTTTGATTTAAACTGCTAGGACATTGGGTTTTATGAACTATGCTTTTTTTTTCAAGTACACCTTCCAAGTGGGAGTTTTCATTCCATTGCTCTGACTTGGAGACCTTACCATGGTCTCCTTTTCCCCAATTCCTAGTTTTCTGCAGTCTGTCACCTATACCTGGCAATCAGAGTGCCTCTTTAAAAGGAACTATGAAAATTTTCTTTCTGAGTAGTTACATTTTTCTTCTTTACCCACCTCATTGCAAAAATAAATCATGCCTAATTAATAATCCTACTTTAATAATCCTACTTTGTAAACATGCTATTAATGGAAATGTAAGTTCAGATCCATTAAACATTATAATGAAAAATATATTCTTCCCAGAGCTAAAGGCTTAACATTTAGATGACAATCACAATCAGTTGTGACAAAGCCAATTAACATCTAAGACTACTGTGTAAGTCCTGGATTAATAAAAAATGGGAAGATTTGGTCATTCAATATTTTCTACAATCCTTATGCACAGAATTTTCTATTTTTAGTTAAATAGAGAAAGAGCCCTCTTTCCTTCAGCAAAACACCATTAAAATCTCCTGATAGGTAACCGAAGCTGCTGTTCAGAAATCAGCCCAAATTAAGAAGTTCAGAGTATTTGAAAAATACAACCCTTTCTGGTCTTGCAACTTGCTAACTGAGAAGCCCCCTACAATAAGGCAGGATTCTTAGAGGATAAAAACACTTCTCTCCTTTTTTAGCTAAAAGGCTGTTATTCAGTGCCATCAGAATTCCAGTCAATTTTGGTAGTGGAAACTATTTTATAGTTTTAGACAAGGGGGTCCTCATTCACTCACATTGCTACATTTCTAAGCTTTCTCTGTGATGGTTATGAACATAATGATCCACCACACAGCTCACAGCAACACTGTGATAATATCAAAGGGGCTAGTTATGATGAGATCATCTCAATGCTTTTCTGTACTTTCCATGAAAAATTTGACAAATACTAACATACAAACCAGAAGTTCTTGCTCCAAAGAGTTGCAAAACATAATTTTTCAACTCTTCTTTTAGAATATAAGAAAAAACCTGGTAATTACCAGGTGCAGTGTATGTCATTTCTGGGATTAAAGGGATTTTAGGTTTCAAAGTAATAAGCTATGTTTAAACTATGTTTTATTGACAGAAAAAGAAGAGGAAAAAGGCATACCCAATCAGTATTTAGAGAAAAACCTAAAACTAAACTGTGTTAAGTGGAATGAATCCACCACTTGAAAGATTTTGGAAATAGTCCATTAAAAGAATATCTCATGTTCCATTCATAGAGAAACATTTAAAGAAAATACACTGATAAGTTTTCATCTGGTCTGAAGAAAACATTTCAGGACTTTATTTAACCTAATAGGGCAATGCCACTAAATAGTCACAGTAACTACTCAAAGTAAAGACAGAAATTTTAATCCATGATCTTAAAAAGCCATTCTAGTTATTTTGTACTCATACTCCATATTTCTCAGCTACATCTAAGCCTTCAAGCATCAGGAAGGGAAATATCTTTTAAAATTAATATTCAGGTAGGTATAATGCTATGATTTAAAGCTCAAAAAATCCCACTAACACCAAAGTGAAAAGTCATCTTTCCAAATAAAGTCTAAAGTTGAACTTGAGGGCCTTATTTTGAAAAAGTGGAGATAATGACAATGACCCAGCTTTAAATACGATGATTGGGTAGAACACAAGGAAGCATCAGTGGTCTAAATGCTGGCACAGGACTATATTTGAATGCTGAGCTCTGACTCATTAACAATAGGACCAGATAACTGTAACATGGAGTTGGTGTATGATAAAAAACTCAGTACTGTCCACATGAGCCATTTAGAATCACTACTGAGACATTATGAAAAAGCTAGGATACTGAATTTTCCATGGTAATATGAAATAACACCCGACAAGGAGATATCGTTATTATGCAGTATTAGTTATGTTAGCTCAGAACTTTTAGAAAGTTTAGATATGATTGTCCCAGGACTTATGGTTCTTTTCTGATGAAAGAAAAAACTGTTATTTTAGGAATAATAAAAATATCCCCCAACAAAGAATAGAACAACCCTTTGAAAGTCTTGCCTATCTTAAACTGAGTAAAATTTTTGGAAAATAATTTTAAGTTAACATAGCAGCACAGGTCATATAAAATTGTATTTATATTAAAATATAAATGGAATAAGTCAAACTCAGTTTGTCAAGGATAATTCTGAGAACATTATTTGACAATAAAGAATACTACCTCCTCATTGATACACTACTTGAGCTACCAAATCACTGATTTATATTGTTGTTCTCTCCTTTTCCTCCATACAAATTCTATGTATATTTTCAGGCCTGTATTGTCAACTCTTTCATTTTTAGAGGGTCTAGACAATATTATAGATTCTAAAATTTTACAATATTATGCTGTAGTCTCATTGTTATGTCTCATCTTCTTAAGATTACAAATAACATGAAAGCTGGAGTCAGAGCCTCCCCATCCCAGCCATTGCCCTAGCACAAAACTGAAAACATAGTAAGAATCAAAAAAATAAGAACTGTCAGAGTATCAGACACTTAAATGTAGATGTGCACCAAAAAAGTGATATATAGCTCACTCTAAAATTCTCTGGCAGAAAGACTTGCTTCTAAGTTTACTGAAAAATTCATATGCAAAAATAAAAGATGATTTTCAGTAAAATCTTATTGTTGACATTTGATTTTATTTTGTATTATTATCTAATTATTACTTAATTAAATTTTTTTCAAAACTAGTCTATAGAATTATGCAGCTTATTTTTTTATAATAAGATGAACATGATCTATCTGGAAATAAACATCCTGAAAAATTAAAGAGACATTTATTTACCAGGTTTTGTTCTTGGAGTTTTGGGTCTGGGGCGCCGTTTAGGTGGAGAAGGGATAGATGTAGTTTTCTGGGGAGCTGAAAGAAGAAGATTTAGTACAGCTTTGATAGATGACATTTTCAGGGGTCAATCAGACCGTGCCTGTAAACTTACAAACTTCTTGAGGGCAAGAAATGTTTTATTTTTCTTTGTTTTTCCAGAATTCCCAACACTGTACTTTACGCATAGTAAATAATAAGTAAGTGTTGACTGAGCCAAACAGAATTCAATTTCCACATGAGACCTGAAGAGAAATTGTTTAACTAAACATACTAGAATATGAGCACCCCTGAAGTATTTCACACAAGGCACAATGAAGAACTCAAAAGAATAACATTAAATAGCAGGGGCACAACACAAGTATGAGATAGTTTAGAAAGTTCAGAACTCAATGAACTCTATTCTTTAAATAATTTTCCGTTATAAAATGTAAATTGTATTACCTCTCTTTTATAAATTTTTCATCATCATGCTTAGGATTGCTGAGATTACTTGGTGAAATTTATACTTAGACTACTCTGGGTGAAAAACTGATCAAGTTATATCCAAACCAAAGGGGCTATGTTTCAAAATAATTATAATTTATAATTCTGCTATTTTCTGGTTGACAAAGTTGAAAGAAATATAGAAAGGAATTATTCTTCAAGATATATAGACCAATACATAGACATCAAGATTATAGAAATTTTTAAGGATTATCTCAGGGCTAAGTACACTGGATAGCTCAGTTCTTTGAAAAATGCCATGGTAAAGAAAGAGAAGAAATGTTTAATACTAAACATATTCTGAAAAAGACAACATGACTAACTGTTTTCGTCACTTTACCTGTTCTTTCAAAGCGCAAAATTATACAAATGTCATTAGTTACCAGATGTTGTAGGTTTCATTGCAGGACTGGTAAAAGTTTCCACTTTTTGAGGAATAAATGATGTTTCACTTGGAGCTGAAAGCACAAACACCCCATCCCACCAGATAATACCAGTTAAAATGAGATACTTTAAGAATTTTAACATGCTTTTAGATGGTACAATGCATATGCTACAAGTGCATGATTAAGAGTGATAAAAGTATGTTGCCTTGAAAGCTGGTGGATGAAATTAAGATTTAAAGTGGATAAAAAGCTATAATGATTGTTGTTCAGTAGCTAACTCCAGGCAGATTCGACACATGGAAATGAAGTATCGAAGGCCACATACACATGAGATGAGATGGTGTGAATGATGATGTTCATGTAGTTTTCAAAGCTTCTCGAAAGTTTAAGGATGAAGAAAATACCATCTATTACAGTTCAGTGAGAGAAACACGTGCATGCACAAGTTCATGCACAAAATGGAATATAAAAGATGCCTGCATTAAATACATACACATATATACTCAGAAACAGAAAATATATAAATGATTATATGTGATGGGATGAAATGGTCAGAGGAAAGTCAGTCACGTGGATTATGGATTTTTATTTGATGAAAATCAAAGCACAATTTTTCTGTTAAAAACATTACCCAGTGTTGCCCTTGGCTGTTCAAGAATTCTAGAAGTTTTAGGTGGAATAGAATCCAGAATGGGATCACTTGTTGCTGTTGGAATAAATGGCAACATTTATAAAACCAGTAGAAGGCCCCAGGAACAAAATACGAATTCATGAGTAATTATGCCTTGCACAAGGAAAAACATCAAGAGCACTTGGAGGATTGCTGACCAATGCTTCTAAAGCAGTGATTCATTAGGAGTTTAAGATGAGATCACTTTTAAAAACATGCATACTTTGAATACAGAAACCATGCCAAAGTAGTGTTTCATACATTCAACTTTTTAAAATCTGGTTTTCCTAGTTTTTCCCCCTTTCTTTTTCATAATTACCTTAATCCATTATGAGCATTTTGTTTAATTTTTTTCTTATCCTCTACTGTTGAAAATTATCTACCCTTACTTATTATGATACAAATAACACTGAAATAAGGTTATACATATAAAGATCAGACACATATTTACATTTGTCAGAAATCAATCTTACATTGAAACCCCTTGTTTATAGGTATCTAGTTTATAAGTGCTTAAGAAACACTTGCTAAAAGAAACTGCTGGAGTAAGTCAAACTTACTGTAAATGAATTTATAAATGAATGTCAATGATAGACAAATAAAGATGTGATGCTCTAAAACAAGATTTCTCATCTGAGCATGATTGACAATTAGGGATGAATAATTCTTTGGTGGGGGAAGCTGCCCTGTCCACTGCAGGGGTTTGGCAGCATCAATGGTACCTCCCCCAAGTTATGACAACCAGATGTGTCTGTAGACATTGCCAAATGTTCCTGGTTGGGGAAAAAGGTTTCAAAATAACCCCATTTAATACTCATTGCTCTATAGAAAACCATCTATGACTCTAAAAATTTTTAAGAATTGTTCTAACCAAAAGAGTGACAGGACATTATATTACTTTCCCCCAGTGGCAACCCAATCTATCTGCATGTCCCTCATGTGACAGTGCTTATTTAATGATTAATGTAATGAAATAATTTTTCAATGGGAGGTATGGATAGAATTTATTTCCCTGACACACATGGCTACTACTCCCCTGTGGAGCTCTAGAGAGCACACCTTTTCATTCTGCAGAAACTAAAAGGGGTAAACACCAGGTATTTTGGGGAACCTGAAATTTAAAAATGTAATTGAAAGGCTGGTTATACCTGTGTGAGGCTCTGATATATCAGGCTCATCTGAAGTTGAAGGGCTTGAGAAAACTTCATAAGTTGCTTTAAAAAATAAATAAAACACAAGATGTTAATTTTTATTAATTTTGAAAGATTTCATGGCATATTCTGATGCCAGCTAAAGGACAGTTTCACTTAGGTACCAGTATGTTTGGGCTTTTGGCTACTGGCCTTGTCACTACTGTTTTAGCAAACATCACTACAGCATTAGCTTTTGGCTTTCTTATTCTGAGTTGCAGGATTTTATATAGCAAACATTGGCACTGACATTCAAGGTAATGTGAGCCTAGTGCTATATATTTATGCTAAAGTGATGCCAGCTCTAATTCAAAGTGCTTCAATGAGTATAAACATAAATAAAGTCAGATGGTAGCTTGGGAAGAGATTTCTAAAGAAAGAAACAGCAATCAGACAGGCTATTTGCACAAATTCTACTGCTTAGTCTTTTAGTAAAAGTTACCCTCTTACCCTCTTAATATCTTGCTGGTGACAGCATGTTCTCATACTTACCCTTGTTAATATCTCTGAGAGGTAGGCATTTCCCTTACATTACAGATAATGGGACATTATGTCTATTTTCTAGATAATAAATTTGAGGTTTACAGCCCTGGAGAAATTTGCCAGCATACACACGCTGAAATTGTCAAGTTCAGTACATTTTCTACTCAGTCAGTAGGACCAGGAACAGCAGGGCTAAGACCAGGACTTGCTTTTGGCGCCTGTCATTTTATTCCTCGAATCATTTTGTTTAGAGGGCGTTTTCTTTCTATTCCTCCATGGAGCTATGAGTCCTTCCACAATCTAGGTACATTTAAAGATCAAGTATATATTCTATGGGAAATGCACAAAGTGGGATAAATTTAAACTTAAAGATTAGAATATTTTAATGCAGGAATATTCACATAGGCATTTAAACTGAAAGCAAAAACAGCATTAAATTTTTTAATGTACAATTAATGAACTGTCACTATGGTAAAGAGAAGTAGAGAACCCAGGAACTGTTAGGAGGTAGACATTGCTTTCCTTGCCCATTCAGATTGGCCGTGCAGAAATAAAAAGGAAGGAGCTCACAGGATGACTTTTGGGGTTACTTGTAATTTGGTGACAATGTAATGACCTGAAACCACTGCTAGTTGAAGCTTTAAGAAAGGTAATATTAGATGGTCTGACAGGATCTGAAAGTAGAGAACAGCTTGTTGGACCACCTATTGATGAGGCAGAAATACATTTCAGTTTCTGAGGATGACTCAAATACTTTACAGTCTTTAAAAACAGAATATTTGAGTTAAAATAGGCACATATCTTGAGAATGCATATATTACACTGCAATGTAGTTTTAAAGTAATGTAAAGTTAGCTTCGCTACAGTTTTAAAGGGCTGGGTAGGAATGATGGATCTTTTTGTTTGTTTGTTTGTTCGCTTTTGGTACTGGGAATCGAACTCTGGTCCTTGCGCTTGCAAGGCAGGCGGTGGAACCACTGAGCTAAATCCCTAGCCCCAGTGATGGATCTTTTAAAGACAAAATAGCTGTCAGTTTCTGATGTTAGGCTTGCTTTATGCCAGGTTTACATCATGAATCTAGCAATGTCAGCTCTATCTACTACTAAAGAAATTAGGGAAACTTTATCAACTTGCATTTAACACTCTCATCTTAGCTAAGAAATTATAAATAACTTGACTTTTTTATTTATGCTATTGCTTTTGAAAATTCCACTACTGTCTTTATGTTATCCCAGCTCTCCCTTCAATCTAATGACATCAAACCAATTTTCCTACAGTCTATATTTTCATTCCAAAAGATAATATTTATTCACTCTTTTTACTCATTCTCTACAATTACAATTCCCTTCCATTCTGGAGGGTCCAAGCCAGGCTGCTAAATTCCCTCAAATTATTTTCTAAAGGAAGCCCTCCTCCAGAAATTATAGTTCATGTCTGGAAGTTTTCAATTGTCAGGAACTCTTACTTAGAAACATTTTCTCAAACATACTTAAGATTCAAATAACACATCTGTCATCAGATTTAGTCTTTAATAATTCCATTTCCATAGTTCCTGAGAATTGAGTGGTAAATATAAAAAAGAATACTAAAAACACACAAATACCTTTCTCTCAGTTTGATATTGTTTGGACAGTTTTGTGAAGCAAAATCCCTCACCTTATTTGCGAGTTAAACAAAATCTTTGACTTCAAAGTTATAGTTGTCAGAGGACAGGGTAGTTTTGAAATAGAATTCTCTGAAACATTCTAAAAAATCAACAGCTTTTGATTTCCTTACAAAATACAGTATATGCACATCTATTCAAGAGTAAAATTCAGGAAATAGTTAGGCCTGGTTTCTAAAAGACCATTTCTAAAATGAAATGGTTAGGCATGGTTAGTCATACACTTGATAAACATTCAAGAATTCACAGAACATGGGACCAAATGCAACAGGTAAAATGGGTAGTTCAATTCAAATGTTATAAAAAGCAATATTAATTTCTTTCGAAAAACAAAAATTATTTAAAATCACAACAAAACTTTACCTTCAGATTTTTCAGAAAAATATGATAAAAGAACCTGTACTGCTATTTGCTCTATAACTTCCTAAAATCATATTTGTTAATTATGTTTTGTTAGTTATCTGTTTTTACTTTGAAAACTAATTAGGCACAAATCCCACAATGAAAATGTCCTGATGTTGTCCTGGAAGCATGTGATGGCATACCAAGTATTTCAAAAAATTGAGAATTTTATTTTATTTTATTAAAATTCCCTAAATATCAATAACTATGTGAAAGCTTTTCCCTTTCCAACATAAATTCTTAAACAAATTATTTCTATAAGGCAGAAACTCTGTCATGTTTACCATGCACTCAATGTTTTATTTATTCTAGAGCATGGTACCTGGTAGATCCTCAGCAGAATTAATTTGCAAAAAGTTCATTACAATAAGCAAATTAAGAGAGATTGACAAGTGGACAGTTTGAGTTCTTTGAAAGGAAAAATGACTTGTTTGGGGAATTAATACGTCCTTTGATTATTTTATAATACACAAATGTGTGCATATAAATCTCTTTCTCTACCACACAAATAGTTGCTGTAGGTGTATACTCTGGCATGGAAATAGGATTCTAAAAACATGAAGAAGTAACTTAAAAACATTATAAGTAACTAAAAGAGAAAAACATACCACCAAACATAATTTTCAGCACTATTTAAATACATGAATAATGCTTTCTTCAGTTAATGGGAAAACAAAATATCCTTCTGTTTGGCCCTGAAATTTGAAAGAACAATGCTTGCAAGAAATCAAAGGCTGATTTCTTGAAAAAAAGAGAGCATGGAGAATCTGTAAACCATTTGCTACGCTTGAATGCTATTTTCCTGCTCTCAAAGCTTCAACACCAGTACTCATTCCACTCTTTTTCCTCTTTAGGGAGTAATCTAGTTGGGTGAGCCAGATCTGGGGTAATCAACACCTCACAGGGTAGGTGGTAAGATCCAAATATAGTTTGCCTCTTTTCAACTGCTCTGAGCAAATCACCTGTGGCCAAGCTTTTCTAATATACTACCCTCATGCCAATCACTTCAGCTTTTAAATCTTTAATTAATGCATATTAAGTACATGTTGCAAGTAGTAAAAGTTTTACAAAGTACTGAAAGAATTTAACACTGAAAATATTAGGGTTTACATTGTACAGAAGCTCCCAAAGTAGATTTTAATGAAAAGACTGAGACAGACCCTCCACCAGTCTGACTCAGTCAAGGGAAGTCTCTAAAAGATAACTATTTATGCTGCAAGGGGAAATAATTTTACTCAAGGAAGAGGTAGGTTTAGTAATAAGCCTTGGTAAATTGGAAGAAAAATTCAGTTTTTCTGGATACTTTGGAGGGAAAATAAACAAAAGAGTATCCTAAGGATGAAAACAGGACATTTTAGATGGGCAATATGATGAAACAAAGATGCAGTCAATGAAAGGGCTGCTAAGGATATATTACTGGGGTACCCCTTGTATGCTATGCATTATATTAAATGATTTATACATAATTTACAATATATAACCTGATCAAAAATTTATATATTATTTCCTTTATAGGTGGATAAACTGAAGTTCTGATAATTGGTTATTAACCCAGCTCTGTTTCACTCCACAGCTTACAGGTAAACAATCACATTCATAATAAGAATAAGTTTGAAGGAGTGGTTGGCTTCTTAAAGATCATTTGATGTTTCTTATCTACCTGTAAGGCATGCAGCCCCAATACGAACATTTAATTCTCTCTGTTGTGAAAGCTGTTCTCAAAATTTCAAAGCAAGATATATGGGATTGTTTTACTTTTAACTTGGAGTGTATTATTGTAGAGAAGATTAGGAAAAAAATGATTGAGCCTCTGTCCCTCCATCTATTCAGATGTAAGTTTTTCATGAGCCTCATTAAAAGAAAACTGTCAGAAAACAACTTTGGAAGGATCAATATGATGATGTATTCATAACTCTTTGAAGCTCTCAGAAGAAAACTGTCATATACTTAGCTATAAATGTCTCTAATTTCTCATTTTTTATGGCTGAGTAGTACTCCATTTTATTAAAAAACCACATTTTCTTTATCCAGTCTCCAGTTGATGGGCATTTGGGCTGTTTCCAAGTTTTAGCTAAGTGGATGCACATTGAAGCAATACTCTTAAGTGAAATAAATAGGACATACATGTGTAAATACCAAATAGTTTCTCTGGTGTGAGAAACTGAAAGTGTAAATAAGGACTAAATGTATAATAGGTAATGTGAAATAGGAAGAAAAGGGGCAAAGGGGAAGAAAGTGGGAGGGCTAGGGGAAAGGATAGAAGGGAATGGGATTAATATGAGAAAATGGAAAAATAAGAACAAAATCTTTGTAAATAGGGAGGACTGGAGGGGTTGAAGGGAGGGCTGGGCAAGGGTGAAAAATAAGAACCAAGAGAGACTATGTAAAGGTGCAAATTTCCAATGATGAATGTCATTATATTGTATACCTAAAATGTACCAATGATTAGAATGAATAATCAATAATGTAAAATAGGAATAAAAGATCCAAAGGGGTAGGGGTAGTGGGAGGCACAGGGGAAAGGAAAGAAGGGAAAGGAAAAAATGGTGAGAAATGGAAAAAATGGAAATAAAGTCTTTGTAAATAGGGAAGGGTGGAGGGCATGAAGGGAGGGTTAGGAATGGGGAAAAAATAAGAACCAAGATGCATTACATAAAGGTACAATTCCCAATGAGAAATGTAATTGTGTTGTATACCTACAATGTACCAATAAAAGAATTTAATACAAAAAAAAAGAAAACTGTCATACAAACATAAATTATATTATTTCAGTGGGGAAATGATCCAACATATGGACAATTCATCCCAGGATAGAAGGTATTAAGAGCTTTTCTAGAACTTCTATTAACAACACTGGGATTGTAGTGAACTGGCCACTTTCCAATAGGACCAGTTTTATTGCATCATCAGAAAGATGGACTTTTGTTGAATAGCTGTCACAAGCACTTAAGTATTTCTAAAATCTGGCTAACATCCTTTTAAATAAAAATTTATAAATAATTTTACATTCTGGTATGTAGGAATAAAGCATACTTTTATGATTTCCTTTATATACTTTATGGAAAATTAGATTTGCCAAGGAAATCAAAAGCAATCAATGCTACTTAAACATACTTTATGAAAGGTTTATATGAAATGCAATTCTAAGTAATGACATTGCAAAACACAGAACTAAGAAAGAGTAAAGCATGCACATTGAAAACAGGGAAGAATATTTTTGATGATTATGCATCTCAGATTTCTTGAGATATTCCAAACTTCAAATATCCTGTTCCTCTATTGCCAAAAACTATTGAAATGACCCAAGGATTTCAATAATCAGTATGTAAGTTAGAATTTTCAAATAGTCTTTTATATAAAAAGTACAGAAATCTTTTTGAGAGCACCCATTCTGATTTTTTTTGATACAGAATGTAACATGGCAAACAATTCCAAAAAATGTCAAAGAAAAATAAATTTTACAGTGATAAATCATATTTAGTGGTTGATCCAGGTAAGAGCAGCCCCTGGGATCCAGGAGTTAGCCTGGCATCCACAGGTTGGCTGTAACCTTCTCCCATCGACTCTCAAACACTACATGCATATTAAACATTAAATCAGAACTAGAATGGTACGTCTTATTTTATTTCTACTCTCGTATCACTAAACTGATCTCTAGAAAACCAGTGAGCCAATCATAGCTTATTTTAGCCATACTACCAAGAATATATCCAGAAGGTAAAACATACATCTTTAAAACAAATGCAAGAGTCAGCTAAGTATCAGCTAAGTATCAAGGTTTTGCATTTGCCACAGAGTATATTGATAATCAGTTAAGGAACCTATAAAAATAAAAACAAGAAACTTTAATATTCTTCTTACAATCTTTTTAAAAAAAAGAATACAATTACCGGTTTGAGGCTTTACAACTTTGGAATCTTCTGATGTTTTAGCTGTAGGGGCCATCCATGACTTTTCCTTTGTTACTATATTGGAAAAAAATAGAATTTGCTGAATATTTGTTTTCAGAGGAGAAAAGGACAGAAGTAGCTTCCTGGTGTGGTTTAAGTAGCTATCAGAAGACTGAAATAAAAAGCTCATTTGGATACTATCAAATGTAATTGGGGCCAGGGATTTAGCTCAGTGATTCTGCTGCCTGCCCCGTAAGAGCAGGGACCTGAGTTCGAACCACAGTGCCAAAAAAAAAAAAAAAAGTAATCAAGGACTGAGAAGAAATCAATACATACCATCAGAGAACATCTGACTAATGACAAGGGTGAAACCAGAGACTGATGTCATGCTCTCAACATTTTAAGGACAGAAAACTAGTCAACTGGATTATGTGTGATTCATAGAGTGATGATTTTTACTGAATTTATAGAAATCCAATCAAATAAGACTTTTCTTTCTTTTTAAAAATTGAATCAACTACCTGTTTGCCTGAGTTAACTGATTTCAGTAGTTTATTGAAGTTTGCAGAGATAGGACCCCATAAATGTGTCTTAGGAATTAAACAATTACCACCCACATGGTAGGAATCAAACTCAGTGCCACAGCCATGCTAGGCAAGGATTTACTGCTGAACTACATCCCAATCCCACCACCTATATTCTTACATCAAATACAAAGTACTTTTATTACCCAAGGTAACCTCAGGTTTCTCAAAAGGGAAGGATGTTTTTGCTTCGGGAAATTCTGGAAGCCTTTTTGGAGCTGTAATCAAACACACAAGGATGGTTATGACTCTGAGGTGCAAGGAACAGAGGAAGATGGCTTTAAAAATATCAATCTTGCAAAGAGAGTAATTATTTCATATCAAATAAGGAATCTTAATATATCTCTTCTGTGTTTCAGTGCAGGATAATAAAATAAATTTTCTTTTTCAACTTTAAGATCAAACCACTAAGCTTGAAGTATTTTTACTTTTCTTTCTATTCTTATTAAACTAGTTTTTCAATTTCTTCAGCTATATTTGTGTGTTCTTTCAAGTATATTTTATTTAAATTCAAACTAAGCATCAAATATATCTGAAATGGCAAATATCTACCTAATAGTGTTTAAAAGTAGAATTTGTGTATATATGTATATATATGTAGTTTATAGATGTATATATATGTAGTTTATATATATACGTACTTATATTTAAATAGTTTATATATAAGCATCTCCATTCTTTTGATATTGTACCTAAAAATAAATCTAAAAATTCTAAAGAGGACTTTCCAGAAATATCTATCAAGAAAGACAATTGAATAAAAACATTTAGGAAAAATATCAATTTTCTCAGTGATATACTAACTATAAATGAAAAGAATAAAACAAGAATATGACCACCACCACCAAAACCCACAAGTGGATTTTTCATAGGGAGGGACTCTTTAGGATTCTAAATTATAAAGATCATTTTAACACATTTAAGAGCTTGGACGTTGGGAAGCTCATTGTTCTACGAACCTCATTTCCTTTTACCAGTGAGAAAATGAATTTGAATGAATTACCACAACACCTTCAAAAAGCATGAATAAAATTTCCATAATAAAAATTATGCTCCAGTGTTTAATAATTTTTACCTAGAGTGCTCAGTGGCAATTCAAACTTAGGTAATAGAATAGTTTGCAATGTTTCTGGGGTCCTTTGGCTGAGAACTGCAATAAAAAACAATGTGGTTAGAAACACCTTGCCTGAGGATTTGATCTTTTGGTGTAACCATGACCATGCATAACATGCTTCATAACAGAGATTCATGTGCAAGGAGCAGTTGGTGCTTCTCATGGAAATAACTGGTCTTCCCTGGAGCAGTTACATAGCTGCTAAAATTTGAAAGTGTATTTTCAGAAGACCAACATCACAAGTGCAGAACAAAATACATGCTCTCCTTTTCTTCAGAGGAAGAGACCAAACAACAAAAGCAAGTTAGATTCCCTTGGGTGAAACAGCAGGTAAAGCAAGTGATAGAAAATTCTTATTAGAAAGTACTCTTTGGGAGATTCTTTCCACATTTAGTATGCAAAAGACTTTCATAAGCCAATTTAAGTGGAAACCCCAGACAGTCAAGACTTGAATGTTTTTCCCATCCCTCCAAGATCTGGAGGTTGAAAGGTTGGTATTCTGCCCATCCAGCCCAAGAGACTCATTAAAAAGGGCATGCAATTAGTATCTAGCATCCATGCCTGCCTGGAATATTAGTCAATGAGATCCAGGGAAGTTGGTAACTTCTCAGTGGAATTGGTCCAAATAATAGAAAAGTTACTAGTGCCAGAAAAGAGGAAATAAAGAAAAAGAGATAGGGAGAACAGGGAGAAAGGAGAGGAGAGGAAAGGGGGAGGGGGAGAGAGGAAAAAGAGGACAGAAAGAAGGGAAGGGGGAAGGAGGGAAAGGTACGCTAAAGTCTTGGGGTTACTTTATTGCTGTTTTATATTGATTTTTAAGAAAATGTCAGTTCTTAGAATTACCCCGTGTTGTTTCTGAAATGTCTAAAGTACTAGACACAGTGGGCTTAGTGGCTCTTGGAACTGTTTCAGGAGTCACTGAAAGGTAAAAAAGAGATAACTTTACACATTAAGATAAGATGATGAAGCAACTAAATATCATGAGAAATCTTTTGTTGGCCTTCAGAATTAGTAACTGATATTTATATAGGACCTTTCTTCTCACATTTCTAATATTGAGGACTCCCTCGCTTGCCCCAGATGCCCGGGCTGACTTTCCTCCTCAATGCATCTTTTCTGGGTTTGGTCCACTTTCTATGTGATCCACAAAAAGCACAAAAAACTGACATCCATTAAAGCACTTATTAGATTATGTTTTTATCTTCCCTTTTCTTTAATTCCAGGGCTTAGCGTAATGCCTAGGACAAACACACACATAATAATAGGTTATTAAACAAATGAATGAATGGGAAAATAAAAGAATAAACCAGGGCTGAAAGGTTTACTGAAAGCAATAACATTATCAGCTTTCTTTCTCAAAATTCACTCTACCCACAATGGTTGGAACTGGGTTAAAATTATGATCAGTATTCAAATGCTGAGCCACAAGTTTGTCCCAACTGCTAGATGAAAGGCAATTAAAACCTCAGGTAGATAACTGTGGAGAAATATGAACCACAGTTACTGAAATCTGGAATAAATCATGTACTGGAAAATCCTAGAATTTTTCAGGGTAAGGGTATGAAATAAACACAATATTGAATAATAAGTTGTGATTGCCTAAGAATTTCTGAAGTGGAAAACTCTGAGGAGGGTTTGGCGAAGAATTAAGAAATCTGTAGACTCTCATCAGACACTGTGCCAAGAGAAGAAAATGTAACTTGGAGAAACGGGTAGAATCTTTGAAGCAGAAAAGGACTTGGAGTCAACTATTGGGTCATGCCTGTGCTTTTCTTGGTATTGACAAATTACATTGAAATCAGAAAATCACCTTGGAATTTCATCCAAATGGATTATTTTGGCAGCATGAGTAGCTTCTACCTTTGTGCTATGGAAGTGGGGAAGAAGGTCCATTTCTCTTCCTTAGACAGGACCACACTCCTCTGCTCAGTCAGAAATATTGTACTTCAATCTGTTTCTTGAAGTTATTTTATTACTCCATCAATCTTCTATTCTCTGGACCAGTTACAAGTCCAAAAGTTTAGTACAAAGAAAAATATCACTAATATCTCAGGTTATAGCAATTTCATAGATTTAAAAAACTCAGTGTGGATTAGAGTCACTCTGCTAAATGTGAATTATGAGGAATTCTTGCCAGATGTTTATTTTATCGAGTGCTGGATAAGGCAGTATGACTCTGGCAAAACTCTCTGCCTCAGAGATTAATGCCTCCCTAGGGAACTAGAATGGGTAGTTTCACTGAGAGAAGAAACTTTGGAAACACTGATAAACTATGGGGAAAATGCTTACTGTATTTATTCTTTAATGTATTTTTACTAAATGTTATATATTCTCTAACTAGGGCTATTAATTTCCCAGAGACCTTTGTTTCTAAATTACTCCAGGGTATTTTCTTAGCTATGAAACTATTGATTTGTGAAGGATATAAGGCATTTCATCAAATTGACCAGATGTGAAGAAGCAATGAAAAATGGTATCAGGTCTTCAAATAAAATGAACATACTGTACCAAAACCTTAGTATTACATTTTAGTGTAAAACTACTTTAGTGTTAATGTAACAACTTTCATTGAGTATGAAGAATACAGCTTCCATATTACATATCAGTTATATGATCTAATAGTTCAGTTTTTATCTGTTCTTATATTCCTAGAATCTTCTATTACTTTGTTCTTATGATCAAAATGAATTTCCTACTGGCTCTTTACTGAAAAATAAAGTTTGTAGATCATTCACAGTTTGAAAAAATATGGTGCTTCTTTTCTCAACATCAACATAAGGATTTCATTACCTGTTATGTGCTGTGCTGTGGTTTTTTCAACTTTTGGTGTTCTAGATTCTGCAGGTAATGCCAAGGTTTCATTATTAGCTAAAAAATAAGAGAACATACACTTTACCTCTCTTTCTCCTAGCAAAGTGTCCAAAGAAGCTTATTTAGTGCATAATCAACAGACTATTCTTAAAAATTTAATCTACATATATATAAAATACACATGTATGTAGATGCATTATATATGTACATATAATATACATATATAATGTATATTATATATACATAATAATCTATATAATAATTTATATAATAATTATCTATCTATCTATCTATCTATCTATATATCCCTTTTCACAAGCCAGATAACTTTACTTTGCATTTTTACCAGGGCTAGTATGATCACAAAAGAGATTTCAAATTTTCTTCTTGTTCATCCTAGCTAATTCTTTAAAATGTAAATTAGCATCGGAATGAAGAAAAAAGTTACAGTACTATACTTGAATAAATCTTATCATTCTGATTCATAAATAGAGTTTCTGGAAGGCATAGTTTGTACTGCAAATGTTCTTTGGAATTTTATATTCAAGCACTCCTAATTTTTTTAAAAAAATTAATGAATACAGAATTTTCTTTAGTGTATATGGTAAAAATAAAACAAATTATAAAAAGATAAAATTTTTGAAAAAAGCAAATCATACACAAATGCAAATAGAAAAATAAGTTACTCATAAAAATTAGTGGCAAAAAATTAATGATAATACATTTTATTTGAGTGACATGTTAACATAGATTTTCTTTTGTGGGATTTCAGTGCAAAGAATGGATTTCTTTTCCATTTTTTCTCTTTTATGCAACTATTTGGAAAATTTTCTTCTAAATTTAGGTGTTCTTTTTCAAAGAAATTAAATATCTAAACTAGAATTTCCCAATGATTAAGAATTTCCCCAATTTTATAAAGTTGGGATTAACTCTATTCCATTATTTGGCACATTGAGTCAGTGACCTACTTCTAACATTTTGAAATAGCCTAATGGCATGAAAGAATTCATGCATCTTTGAGATATCCTGACCATGCTACCTGGAGCTGATTAAATAGTCAGGTGGGACTTTTTTCTTAAAAGTTCTGAGCTAGACAGAACTTGGATTTCTCAACTTTTACACTATTGACATTTGGGGAACGGGGCATTTTGTTCAGTGTAGGATGGCTAACAGTCTTTCTTTCTGGTCTTTACCCATTGGATTCCGATAGCTGTCACAGTTGTGACAAGAAATGTCTCCAGACATTTTCATATATTTCCTGGGGACAAATCACCTCTTGTTAAGAGCTATTAATCTAATCCATTTTCTCATTCCTTTTGAACATGAAAATTTTGTACCCTTCTTCTGTAGTTTATATCACTCTTGTAAAGACCATTTTCATCTTTTCAGTTAATGATGTATAAAATTACTCAAATGGTCTTAAAGACAATTACAAAATTATATTTCTAATTTTCAGTATATACCATGGAAGTGATTCCTACAGAGAGCTTATTGTTTTCAGGCACTATTTAAAATGCCTGAATTAGTTGTCAAAATACTAATGAACCTGCAACCTATTATATTTTGTGTTTCACAGGAATTTTGCACAACACAAGTAGTTAATGCCATTGTTCAAATTTAGTTAGCAGGACATAAAGAGAAAGAACTCTTTCTATAATAAATAAAAAGAACACATGTAGAATTTCATAAAATCTATTCTCAAAATTTCTAAATTTTATTAACTTTTTTTCTGATGTCTTTGATAGGCATGGCTTTTGTTTAGAGCCGTTCTAGTTTTTAGCATGTGAAGTAACATGCAGATTACAAATTTTTCACAAACTCTGGTCCTGGTATTTTCAATATACATCATAGGGTAACCTTTTCTCTTTAAATGTAAAATAATGAGTCTTCCTTCCCTTCTTTGTCCTTATTTCTGTCAGGTTATTTTTGCTAACCTTCTTCCCATTTAATAATAGCCTATGTTCTCAGCGATTCCCTGACTAGACCACCCTTTCTCCTTCTTCCCTCCCTCCTTTTCCCAACCTTTAGAGCCTAGACTTTCACAGCAATGCTCTGAAATCTTTAGTTTCTCCTATTTAATATATGTCTTTTGTTAGAAAATTGCATTAACTAAAATTAGGCTGTTAATGAAAAAAGATGGAAAACTACCTTCCCAAGAGGTAATTGTATCCTTTTCGCATGACTAAATAAATGCATGTATTATTTCTAAATATAACATTTCAGACATCAGGGAAATTGTGAAATAGGAAATAAATTTAAATGGGAGACTCTGGATATTTAATATCAACCCATTAGCATTCATCGACCTATGTACAACTGCTAGGGTTTCAATAGGAGAATAAATTTTGGTCATCCTAATATCATCTAAAATCAGGGAGTTCCTTTTCTTCCACTATTTTTGTGTACATTTTCAGCACAGTTGTTTCCTTTAATTTTTGGCAGGCTAAGTCTGGGCTTTGGCAAACACTTTGTATGTCCTTTGGAGATGTGTATGTAATATTATCTTTCTTGTTTATTCCTCTCATTATTCACACCATGTGTTCTTACAAAAAAAGCTATTATATCTCTTGCTGTCCCATGATAGGCTTTTCTGGAATTGAGATATTATTTTTAGGCTTTACTCCCTCAAAAATATGACTTTTCTGAATTGTAGTACAATTAACTTCAGGAAAGTTCATTTCTCCCTTAACAGTATCAAAACAATTTATGCCCATGTTTTTTGTTTCAAAAAGAAAAAATAAAACAAAAAGTATCTACACAGCAAAGGAAACAACCAACAAAATGAAACACAGCCTAAAAATCAGAAGAGAATATTTGTAAACCATGTAGCTGAAAAAGGCTCAATATCCAGAATATATAAAGAACTCATATAAATCAATAATGTTATATAGCACATTAAGGTGACTACAATTGACAATAACTGAATATTTTAAAATAGCTAATAGAATTTTGAATGTTCCCAACACAAGCAAATGTTACATGTCTTGAGGTGATAGATATGCCAATTACCTTGATCTGATCTTATATATTGTATACATACATCAAAATGTCACACTCTAACACATAACTATGTAAAGTTACAACATGTCAACTAAAATTAAAAAATAATTCCACAGAGTTACGGTGATAAAAACAGCATGGTACTGGCCACAGCTCCCAGTGCAGAGGAAGGGGATTCCAGGCCACTGTACCACTGCTTGCAGTGTACAGGACATGAGCCAAACAGCACAAACACACCCTGCCTCCCCACCTCCGTGGAAATGAGAAGACATGTAAACAAGCTTCTAAAACAGACTTCCAGATCACCTACAGCAACTCCAAAGGCAAAAGAGATGGAACACTCTGATACTCAACCACCTGGACACACCCTGAATTGACAACAAAAGAGGATCTGTAAAAAATGAAATCAGAAATAATTTCCCAGATAACAGCACAGATTGTGCTCATAGTGCAAGACATGATTAATAAATCTAGAGAGGAGCTGAGGAACATGATGGAATCCCAACATAGGAAACAAATG